TGCTAAGTGCCCTTCTACCCCTAGTGCTAAGTGACCTTTTTTATGTTTGGATTCTTTAGGCTTTCTCTCTCTGCTATGCCATCCCTTCCCCCCTGCTACTTTATCAGAACACAGGCCTGACTGTTTCTCTTCTGGTCCTCCTCCCTGCTACACTGCCTCTACAGCTGGTATTTTACATTTAATTACCAGCCTCAGATTAATCATACTCTCCTTGCCTCAGTAATCAAACCTCTATCCTGATGTCTATCTAAAGTAATTGTGTTTACAATGGGCAGAAGTTTCTGATAGCAGTATTATTTGTATGAGGGATGTAATTAAATACCATAGAACTATTAGCAGTAACATTTAATCCTAAATTATAATTATCCTGTGTATAATTTAAGGTTTTGTTAATACAAGCAAAATGTTAATGTGCTTGTAATTTTATAAATTAAAATATTGGGAAAACAGCAAGTAGTAGCATTGTGAAAGATGTATGGAGGCTGAAAACTAGAGAGACATTAAAGGTTTATATTAATATTCTATGTGAAAGAAGATGAAATTTCAGTTGGTGGTAATGAGAATGGAGCACAGAGAAAATTCTATGAAAAGTCCATAGATTTTTTTTTCTTTTTTTAAAATGTAGTGACTGACCAAAAGTTCAGGAGATCTCAAACATTTCTGTATGAATGCCTCAGTAGCACAATAACCATACCTAAGAATCTTAATAGATACATCTTCAAAATCTAGGCATTTCTTTTTCACTAATTAGATTTCAAGAGTTTAAACCAATAAAAATAAACAATAAATACAGATGTTGTAAGGAAAAAGTTACATTTACCTACCTTATTTATCTAAGCAGCAATACAAAATTTTCCAACAACTTAACAAAACTTCCATCCTGTGACTTAATTGATGCTGTTTTGTATAAACCTGTATATACATACATGTTGTGTATGTCAGCCATCCTTATAAATCAAAGAGTAAAAGCTTAAAGCAGTAACAATTATACATTGTAACTATTTAATACTCATCCAATAAAAATTCCCATGAGCTGCTCAGCCATTTATATATTTAAGTAACCTGACACTATTGGGGAGGGCAAATAACTTTCACTATGTGCATATTTAGAGAAATGCAGATATAATAGTTCCTATGCTTTAAAAAATAATAGTGGTATCTACATATCTAAGCAGCAGCTACTTACTCTACTTGTAATAGTTTTTTTCTTTTTTAATTAATGGGCCATTGCAGCAAAGCTGAAAAAATATTTGATTGCTAAAATGGATGGTGACTACTTTATAACTCAAATATCAAATGAATTGCCCTTATACAAATTAAAGGCTCTAGGGTATTTTAAGTTGATGGACAAGTGTGACCTTTAATTATCTAAAAACTGTTGCTTACAGCTTATTCCCTCCAAATTATTGGCCAATATTAGATGAAAGTGTAATTTAAGTAAAGTCTTTATTTCCAGGTGTGTATTGTCCCTCAAAAATACTTGTGACCAAAATTATTAGATCAGATATCTCTTGATGGTATGTCAGTGTTTTACACATTAACAATCTATGAAATACATGTATTAGACCCAAATATATTATCTGTAGCAGTTACTTTTAGATTACCCATGAAATTTAAGACATGAGAAGTACATTCAGCCTCTTAAATCATTTGTCTTTGCCAAAAGAAAAACTCTGAAAATTGAAGAACTTAAAACACAGTATGCAAAAAGCAGTATAATATAAATCTACTAGGTCTATAAACAGACAGTTCAGTGCAAATTATGATAAACTGAACTAGCTGTGAGGGTACCTGGTTTATGGCTAAACTTTAAAATTTGCAAGTCACAACTGACAAAGCTAAGTGTCCTTATCAAACAAATGGTTGAAGAACCCCAGCACAAACAACTAAAAAGCTGCTTACAACAAGGAAAATGAAAGAAGGAAGTAACTGGCAAGTGTTTACCAAGGAAACAGATTTTGGGCTGGTAGATTTCAGAAATTCATTTTTCCATCTGCCCTCTAACACCACCTAGGTGGCAAAGGCTAAAAGGGAAAGAAGGGATGTTCTCTAAAGCAATCCAGGACCAGTGAACCATGAGCAAAATCCTGAGAGCCACTTTCAAAAGACACCACCAGTTACTGTCCCTTCTTGATCCCCCAAGGTCTGTTACTGGAGAGTTCCCCTCTCCCAAAGTCTGGCAATGGAGCCTAATGCTCACTACATTAAGAGAAAATTATATACTGTGTAGAGAAATGAAAAAATGAATTTATTTACAGTTTTAGCCAAAACTGGGGAGAAATTCTTAATCTGTCTCTATTGGCCTTGTCTGTAGCAGTGATAAAACTTAAAGCAAAGACAAAGAAGACACCCGGGAAGTGTGCATAAGGAGAGTGCCTTTCTTTTGGTGACCCATTTTCACTTCCAGTGTGGTGTTTCCTGGAGGAATCCTACTCCTGGGGGCCTGTAGGGTATTACAGAGTTTTTATTTTAAAAAGTAGGAAAACAGGAATATTAAAATAGAGATGGAGGGCTGGGGAAATAGCAGCTGAGCTGTATTTCCCTTTTTTTGCCACTTTCATAAAATTAAAACCAAATGCGTTATTTGAAACCAGATCAGACAAACAGTATAGAAGTTAGTGCCATTTTGATGCACTTTTTCTGTCTTTTACAAATGAAAATGTGTGGGATTTAGCCTCTTTTTAAGAATTCTTACGTGGTGCAAAATAGTGTAAGGTGGGTTTTCTTCCTCAACTTTGGTATTTTAGGCCATATTTATCATATATACTCAAAACTCCTGAACTCTTCCAGTTTGTGAAATTAGAAAACAAGAAAAATAAAAAACATAGTACTTTTTCTTTTACCTTCTATGGTCTCTGGGCTGTACTTGAGCTCACATTGCCAGGTACCTGCCATTTGCATCTTGCCCTCTTGTAACTGTGATAGGTTCAAACTGCAGGATTGCATCCAAATCGTGGAAGGACTTATATATAATTTTAGAGTAGTCTCGAGTTCTGGGCATGTTTTACTGTTCTATATTCATATTTGAGATTTTTATACTTTGCCTCGCACTGTCTCCCATCTCTTTTTATGTCTAATGGTTGCAGCCTTTAGCAATTTATTTAGTAAATAAATATTCCTTTATGTCTGTGTTCCATGAAGTTGTTTTCATGTATTTCTTTCTGTCCATACACTTAGTAAAGATTTAACCTCCTGCCCAGTCCAGTTCTTCATGCTCCACTTTCCACTTAGAAAGTGACCTGGAAGTGATTCACTATTTCTAGCCAACCATTTGTTTCCTAGGAAACCAGAAGGCTGATGTCCATAAGCTCCTAGAAGCTTGAAAGATCTAGTTTAACTGGCTCAAGCTGCCTGACTAGTAACTTGAGGAACTGCCAGATAAGGAGGTTTTGTGATTAAAAGCAGCCTGGGCCTAAATGATGGCTAACCTTATTTCAATATTGAGGACATACTACCTTGAGAAAAAAGAGAAAGAAAGCCATTGTTTTTGTATTTTTTTTCTTACATAATTTTGTGTTTTACCAAATGATCATTGATTTTTAAAAAATTGTTTGGAAATGATTGGCAGAGGTTTTTCTTTGAGATTGAGATTTATAACTAATGTTAATAACTATTAACATTGAAAACACCTAATGAGTGTTTTTAATGTTAATGAGTCTTATACCTAATGTTAATGTTTAATTATTCTCTAACATTAATCACCCAGTCTTCTAGTCATTTCACTAAATAGTTGTAAGTCACTAGTTAGTCACATAGGGAATATATGTATTTACAGCTTAGTATTTAAGCTGTAAATTAATATTTATAACTCAGCAAAATCATTTCAATTTATTTAAATTTTCACTTTAATGTCATTTAAATAAGTTTATTTAATGTCATTTTATCATTAACAAAATGCCAAAGCAATTACACAATGTGTTTTTTGAAAAACATCTTTTTCTAACAAATAGACCAGTATATTAGCAATTATTAAAGTATGTGTACACGTGGGAGAGGTTTGCCTTTTTATTTCTATACTGATAAGTATTCTTATTGTCAGTAATCATATACTATTTATATAGCACTTGTTCAGAACTATTAAAAGTTACTGAGTAGTTGGAAATTTTATTTAATCGTCTGATTATATGCCACAGAGGCACAGATTCCCTGAGTCTTATGCTACCTTATTTCCAGTCTAAGTTTTTTCTGTCCTCATCTAAAAATATTAATGCAGGAAATGATAAATAGACATAGGGAAGGATGCCTGGTCAGTGAAGGGTTTGTAGCAGCAGCATTTATTCCTTTTTCTAACTTAAAATGAAAGTGGCATTTGTTGGAGAAAATTTGGAAAATGCAGAAAAGGAAAAAGTTTGTTTAGCTGGGCGTGGTGTTACATACCTGGTAGTTCCAGGACTCTAGCGGCTGAGGCAAAATAGGCAGTTTGGGGCCCACAGGGGCCACATATACCCATTTCTTTGTTTATAGTTGCAGTATCCACAACTAAGCATTTTGCCTTCTGTTACATTAGGAGATTTACATCTGTATCTGTGTATTTATCCTGTTGAAACCTTACATGGAGGGCATATTACATAGAGGTTAGAAGCATCATTTCTATGGTTGGATTGTCAGTTCTAATCCTGGCAGTAGCAGCTCCTCTCTGTGTGACACTTGGGCAACTTTCTTAACCTCCTTTCCATTTTCTTTAGTGTGTTTATCTGTGAAATGGGAACAGTAATCATATTACCTCATGAACGCCAGATTTTATCATTGATGTAAAAAATTGCATAGAGTAGAACCTGGCCATTAGTTAGAATTAGATGACAATGTCATCTTGTTACAGTCATCTACTATTACTAGTCATGAGTATCATAAATAGAAGTGGTGCTGGACTAGTAGGATTTAATGTCTTGCCAGACTTAGTTTAAGAGATAGACGCTGTTGGAAAAGGTATGCTTGATAAGATTCGTAAGAAGTTTATCAGTTGGGCAGATTTAATGGTTGATACCTTTGTGTATTCACAGGGGTCAGGAGAGTGCTGGTATTGTGACCAGTGATGGGAGTTCAGTGCCCGCATTCAAAGTGCATAAGGTAAATTTAAACATTAAAAAACTTTTATGATGATAAAGATAATTGCCAGATAATCATTATATGTCAATGAATAAATAATTTGCAATGAGAAGTAATGGTCTTTGGATCATCTACTTTCCAACTTTATATTTAAATGAAATTTGCCACATTAGGATGCATTTCTTTCCCAGTGATATTACTATGTAATACTGACTCACTCAAACAGGTCATTTAAATACTTAAAGATGCTTTGATTTTTAATGTAAATTTTAGTTTATATTTGACAAATTTCATTTTTGCTTAGTACATCTAACATGTTTTAATGAAAAGTGTTATAAGTGTCTTCATGGAAACTGACCATTGTAGCCCCAAGTCTGTAATCCCAGCACTTGGGGACAGAAGGAGGAAGATGGCAAGAGTTTGATGCCAGCCTGAGTGAGCTACGTGGAGAGCTGTCTCGCTTTTTTCAAGTAAAGTAAAAATCTTAAAGAATAAGCATCATAAAACAAGTGCCTCAACATTGTGAATGCCTCAAATACCACCAAATTATTTAATTTTGTGTGAATTTTTAAAGTAAACACTTCTCAGTTCTTAGAATTAGTCTTCCTTCCTTTCCATCTTCTTTTCTCTCACATTAGAATTCTGAAGCACAGAGAAATTAAGTGAACATTAGTGATTTAGATTGCCTGAGCAGAGAGCCCTTTGTGACTATCAGTTCTAATCTCTCTTCTTTTTCTAAGACGCACTTTTATTTTGACTTTTTAAGGGAATGGGTCTTGTAAATCATGTTTTTACTGAAGACAATTTGAAGAAATTATATGTCTCAAATCTTGGAATTGGACATACAAGGTATGCCACTACAGGAAAGTGTGAATTAGAAAATTGTCAACCCTTTGTTGTTGAAACACTTCATGGAAAAATAGCTGTGGCACATAATGGTGAATTGATAAATGCTGCTCGATTGAGGAAAAAGGTAAGTCTTTCATTTATTTATTTTTTTTGATGCTTTTTTTGTTTTAATGATTGGGATGAGTTAATGAAAATAAGTTGAAGATCTTGACAAAGGGCATGTTCTAGTTACTGCCAGTTGTCACCTAACTGCAGCAAGCAGTTGCATCAGAATTACCCAGAGTACTTGTTATAATTCTAGATTCTAACTCTCATCTAACTCCCCAAAGCTGGAGCATTTTAATGTACTCCCAAGTTGATTTGAAGCAGTACTTCTTTAGAGTGGAGATTTGGAAAAGTTGGTCTATGGTGGCTGTTAGAAGCACATAGAAATTAGAATTTATGGACTCTTACTGTCCCTTACAACTTTGCTTCTGTGTTCATACCTTACACGAGATAGGAAAAAACAAACTGTATTTCCTCTATTTAGACTCAACCTAGCACACTTATTTGACCAAATGTGGGGGTTCTCACACCAGCCAGTTTTCCAAAGTACACTAACTAGGTGTTCTATAATTCAGTTCAACCTGGAGTTAGGGTCAGATCCTATAGGTTAAAGGCTCAGTTCCACAAGACTATCCCCCACTTCACACACTAATCACAAGTCCAGGGCTGTGGTACTTTTGACCTACTAACTATAAATTGGGTTCTCACACTCGCTCCTTGGTTTTGATCATTTGCTAGAACTCAGGAAAGTACTTTACTTATGCTTGTTGGTTTGTTATAAAAGATATAGAAGAACAGTCAGATGCAGAGATGGCTAGGACAGTGTATATGGGAAGAGACATAAGAGGTTCTGTGCCCTCTGGGAATCACCATCCAGAAATTTCTAACCCTCTAATCACATGGTTTGGTTCCTCTGACAACCAGCCCCCATTCTGAGGCTCTCCGGGACACCCCTAGACATCAGTCATCTCATTATCATACAAAACACACTTATTTTGGTAATTCCAGGGGGTTTCAAAATTGTGTACCAGGAAAGATTAGACCAGAATTCAGCATATATTTTGACTCTTTGGCCCTGACCCTCTATATCCCACACCCCCAAATGCAGATCAAAGATATTTGGGCTGAGGACCAGAAAATCATGCCTGGTCTGAACATGTACAGATTTTTTTTCCTTTCTATTACTCCCTAGACAATAAAACAACTATTTATATATCCCTCACACTATGTTAAATAAAGTAACCATAGAGATGATTTAAAATATATGGGAGAGTTTGTGTAGGTTATATACAAATGATATAGGTTTTCTTTGTTTGCAGGCCTGGGGATTGAACCCAGGGCCTCATGTATGCTAGGCAAACACTGTGCCACTGAAGCCATATTTCTAGCCTTACACCATTTTTGGTGGGGGTAGGGGTGGGACTGGGGTTTGAACTTAGGGCTTCGCACTTGCAAAGCAGGTGCTCTACCGCTTGAGATAAACCTCCAGTCCCCTACACCATTTTTCACAGTAGACTTAAGCATCTGCAGATTTTGGTTCTGCAGGGGTCCTGGAACCATTGACCCATGGGATACCAAGGGACGGTGATACTATCACAGTATCACAAAAGCATAAGGAGAAAGTGAGTATAGGTTCAGTATCCCTTATCTAAAATGCTTGTTCAAAAGTGTTTCATATTTAAGATTTTTTTTTTGGAATTATATACATAATGAGATATGTTAGGGATGAGACCAAGTCTAAATCCAAGATTTGTTTCTGCCAATTATAAACATTGGCAGAAGGTAATTTTGTGTGCTATTTTTAATAATTTTGCTTGTGAAACTTTTCTTTTTTTTTTTTTTGCTCTACTCATGCATATAGTGAGTAGGCAAAGTACGGTTCCCTTAGTGTTGGCAACTCTGAGCTTAGGGTGGTGGCACCATTAGCTCTTTAATGTTACTGCTTATTGGTAGCCGTGGCTAGTAACTTTTGGCATCTTTCTGTAATTCTTCTGGCAGCTGGGCTTGCATCTCCTCTGCAGTCTTGGCTTTTGCAGCCTTCTACTTCAACAGCCTTAGCTCTCCACCATCTCTCACCTCCTCAGCACTTCCGCAGTTAATTTCAGCTCTCTATAGTTCTGTGCAGTTCCTGCGCTCAATAGTCTGGTCTCTCCCAGCTACTTCTTGGAACTCTCAGTGGCCTTCTAGCAGGGTGGGTGTGCCTGATGAGTCCTGAGTGACTGTAGGGAGGGTCATGTAAAATTCATCTGAAGCTGTCATTGCTAGAAATTCCTGAGGCTCATTTGGGGTGTCAACCATGACATTTTTGCAGTGGTTCCCCCTTATTGGAATAAGTCTCTTCCAGGGTGTCCACAGCTGGTCTGAAGTTCCTTTTGGGCATTGGTGACTAGATTCAAATCTCTCCAGAAGTCAAATGGTTTCAAAACAGCTGCAATTGTCCTGATGCCAGCTCCTAGGATTTCCCCCAAAATGGCAGGAGCTCAAGTTGCTACCTCTGCCATAGACCTTCTGGAATGACAGCATTATTCCTAACGGGCCTGCAGACCCAGGCATCTCCGAGGCAACAGTAGCAGCTCCCAAGCTAGTTGATGTTCCTGCCCATCCTGAGGCAGTTGTTGGGTTTTTCTTGGGCAACTGCTGCTTTGGCCAATCTCAGGGGACAGGACTTGACAGCTGCCAATCAAGTGGTGTAAGGGTTCACTGGCTCATTTAAAGAAAGCAAAATGAAAGTGCTTATGACAAAGATTTATCATGAAATTAACATTCATAATGTTTAACCCTAGCCAAATGTCCTTAGAGGGGTTGGGGCCTCCTAACATCTCAGTTTCATGGTGTGAGATTTCCATTAGTTACATCATGTCAGGCACTCAGATATTTCATATTTTGGATTAGGAATGCCCAATCTGTTTATTTTTGGTGGCACTGGGGATTGAACCAGGGCCTCAAGTTTGCTAGGCAGGCATTCTTAACCACTTGAGCCACTCAGCCAGCCTGGTTGCTCAATCTGTACATACATGAAGCATATGAAGAAAATGGAATATAAACTTGAAGATGACAAATATGAGAAAAATGAATTGGCGGCCATTAGAGGAAACTTAGAAAATCGAGTCTGGGAGCAGGGACAAAGCTTTTACTTAAATTCTTTGTTCATAATATGTGTTTGGAGATTTCTGTGGTGATGGTGTCCAGTTTGCCTACAGCTTCATCTGTCATTTCATCTTTTTTTGTTTTTGAGTTACACAGGTCTTCACATCTTATTTTTATCCACTCTATCATTTATTATAATGTCTAGTTTCCTTAGTTGATTAGATTCCACTAATTATAACTTGGGAGCCTCAGGACCAGGTGGTACTTAAGAGTAGCACACGTCCACACACCATTTAACTTTTAGAATTTCACTGATATTTCACATATGAGAAACAGTTACCTAACTGAGTGCTGTTGAGCCCAGGTTTCTGTACCAGGCATTGTCCTTCTATTCTCAGTTCTGCTTTAGGGATTTCCCATAGCTTTGCTGTGCTTTCTTCATAGGTATGGCATTGTAATGACTATAATATACATCTATCCGTAAGTGAAAAGTCTGTAGTTTATTTTGAAAACTCAAAACAATCAGGCCTGGAGATGTGGTTAAAGCAGTAGAGTAAGTGCCTGTCTAGCAAAGCAGGAAGCCTTGAATTCAAACCCAGTACCACAAAAACAAAACAAAACCTGACAGCTACAGAAGTATCAAGTAAATTACTAAAAGTTCACCACTTGGAAGCCACCAACAGTTTAATTCTAAAGAGTATCTAGCTCATTGTTTCTAGATATACCTCATACCAGATGCTAGACTTCATCTTCACACTTTTAGCTGCCTTGAAAAATGTTCAGTAGTGTCCACTTAAACTCATTCTGTGCCCTGCCATGGGTCAGTTCTGTTTAGAACTTCATAATCATCATAGGGTACGCTATAACATAGATGACATACATCATAGATGTATGTTATTACATCTTCTACATTTAATTATTTAATGCAGTTGATTCCTGTCTTCTATTGATAATCAATGAGGATGGAGAGTCACCACTGTGGTGTGCTACTCCTAGGGAAACGTGTCTTATTTATCAAGAGTGTTGAGGGTAGAAAAAGTTGGGCCCACAGTCCAGTCCCTTACCTTTCAGTTCTACATGCCCTCAAACTTAGCCTTCAAAAGTTTTTCTTTAGTTGAATTCTTGCAGTGTTTTGGGAAACTATATTGTTTGGTTTTACCACTTTCAGTATTTAAAATTTCTGTTTGGTTTTACTTAATCTAAAGCAGTTGTATATTGCGGGTGCTAGTGTTTTCTCTTGAGAAATGCAGAAACTCTGCTAGCTCATTGCAGAGTTTTTTAATTTTAGTTTAAAATAAAAGCTGAGACAATTCAAAAAAAGGCTTTCTTTCTTAAAGCACTGTTTTTTGTTTTGTCTGGCTTGAAAGCCTTCAGAGGCTTCCTCTATTAGTAGTGCATGCATTAGTGAGACTCAGGGCTTTTGTAACTGCCTGCAGATTGCCTGATTGCCTGCTGTTGTGGTAGGCTGTTACATGAGGGTGGAGTAGAGATTCTGCTCTAATGAGAAAACTCTTCTCTCCTGTATAGCTTCTGCGTCATGGCATCGGTCTGTCAACAAGCTCTGACAGTGAAATGATTACGCAGTTACTGGCATATACCCCTCCACAGGAACAAGATGACACTCCAGACTGGGTAGCAAGGTAACTGTAATTGCTGCTCTGGTAATGAGAATTTTGCCGTACTTATGTTTATATCTGATGTAGTTCATTCTGTTATTCAATTATTTAATTCCAGGATTAAAAACTTAATGAAAGAAGCACCGACAGCATATTCCCTGCTCATAATGCACAGAGACGTTATTTATGCAGTACGAGATCCTTATGGGAATCGTCCGCTATGCATTGGTCGTCTTATTCCAGTTTCTGATATAAATGACAAAGGTAATGAACTTCAAAAGAAATATTTTTTGTTTGTTTTGTTTCTTAGGAATATAACTTTCATAATATTTTCAAAGTCACTGTCTTATAATAGGCAAGCCCAAAATCTTTGGCTAGAGGAAGGTTATGGGTGAGAAGAGAGAAGGAACAAAGGCATTTTTAGTTTCTAAAGTACCTTTGTTTTAGCATGTATGAGGAGGAGTCTTTTTTTTTTTTTTTTTTTGGTGGTGGTACTGGGGTTTGAACTCAGGGCCTCATACTTGTGAGGCAGCCAGGTCTTCTACCACTTGAGCTACTCCATTAGCCCAGGAGGAGTCACTTTTAATACATTTAATGGACATTCTAGTTTTTTCCTGTCTTGAGTTACCTATTCATATCCTTTGCCTAGCCTTTTTACTTTTGCAGTATGGTTTTAGTGATTTTCTTTTTGACTTTGTTCAAGACACTCACTAGTCACATGAGCTACCACACCCCTAATCCTTTGGCTTTTAGCTTGTTTTTCAGATAGGGTCTTACTTTGTCTAGTGGGCCTTGAACCAGGGGTCTTCTACCTCTACCTCCTATGTAGCTGGAACCACAGATGTGCTCCATCACACCCTGCCTAGGATCCATGTGCTTTTAATATCATAGAAATAGCTACTGTAGCTGAGCCCTGGTGGCCCACGCCTGTCATCCTAGCTACTCTGGAGGCAGAGATCAGGAGGATGGCAGTTTGAGGCCAGCCTTGGCAACAAAAGTGAAACCTTATCTCAAAAGTGTACATAACAAAAAAGGGCTGGCAGAGTGGCTCAAGGAATAGAGTGCCTGCCTACCAAGTGTCAGGCCCTGAGTTCTAACCCCAGTACCTCACAAAAGAGTAAAAAGGAAATAGCTGTTCTATGAATTTTTTTTATTATTTGTTCTGTACAAATCATTACTTTCTAAATTTTTCTTGATTCCATTAACTGAATTGATATCTTGTGATTTACAGAAAAGAAAACATCAGAAACTGAAGGATGGGTAGTATCCTCAGAATCTTGTAGCTTTTTATCAATTGGTGCCAGGTAAGTTTTACCTCATTAAGCAAAATTTCAACCAAGCACTCTGGTACATGTCTATAATCCTAGCACTTAGAAGGCTGAGACAGGAGGAGATTTGAAGCCAACCTGAGCTACAGAGCCAGGCCCTGTCTCAAAAAAAAAAAAAAGTTTTTTATTTGGGATAAGGTGGTGTACACCTGTGGCCCTAGCTAATCCAGAAGTTGAGACAGGTGGATTCTTTGAGCCCATGAGTTTGATATCAAGCCTGGGCAAACTTGTCTGACAAGAGATGGGAAAGGAAGATTATAATTTAAAAGGTTTTCTTCTGATTTTTTTGGGGGGTGGGATAGGGAGTATGGAACTGGGGTTTGAACTCAGGACTTCACACTTGCTAGACAGGTGCTCTACAATTCAAGCGACCCTCTAGCCCTTCTTGCTGTATTTTGTAAAAAGGGTCTCATGCCCTCCAGGTTCCAATCTCAGACCACAATCCTCCTATCTGTGCCTCCCTTGTAGCTCGGATTGTAGGTATGTGCCATCATGCCCCCACTTACTTTTGAGATGGTCTTGCTAACTTTTTGCTCCTGCTGGCCTCCAACCCTAATCCTCCTGTCTCAGCTTCCCAGGTAGATGGGATTATAGGCATTAGCTACCACGCCTGGCCCTCTTTTGATATTACATGAAAGTGTTCTTTCTGATGCCTGTATGAAAACATTTGTAGATTTATTTTTTTATGTCCATATGTCAGCAATTGTACCCACTTTAATGGTTCAGTATTGTTTTGTTTTCTTTCTTTCAAAATACCACAACACTTACTTTAGAAAGGAAGAACTTCCTCAGCACCTCAACACAGAATAAATACAAAACAAAAACTTTGTTTTTCCCTTTACTTTTTCAAAAATCAATAAAACATAGGACCTTCATTTTAAACTAGAACTTAGCTTTAATAGGTAGATTTATAGAAACTACTATGGGAGCATATTTTTCTTTTTATTGTACAAAATAATGAGTTTCACTATGACATTTTCATCCATGTAGATGATGTGCTTTGGTCATGTTCACACCTCCCCCCTTTTTTTTCTTTTAAAAATCTTGACTTTATATTAAATCCATCTTTCGCTATAAGGAAGGAGACTCTGTGTGCTTTATGATACATGTTATCAGCTTTAAGACTGGTTTATTAAAGTCTTCTTTCTTTAACATTATTTTTCAAGATATTACCGTGAAGTTTTGCCTGGGGAAATTGTGGAAATATCCAGACATCATGTCCGAACACTTGATACTATATCAAGGTCTGAAGGGAGCCCTGTTGCTTTTTGTATCTTTGAATATGTCTATTTTGCAAGACCAGATAGTATGTTTGAAGGTAACTAAATTTCTTTTCTTTGACTACTTATATAAACCTCTCATTTTTCTCATTGAAACTTGGCAGTTCTTGGCCCAAAGGGTTATTTAGCTCTTTGAAGGATCATAATTATATATTGTGGATATATTGCTGAGCCCACAAATAGTAAGGTCACTGTTTTCCCTTCTTTGGACTCTTAGACTTTGTTTTTCCTTTAAGAGTAAGGATTGATTTTCACATCTATATTAAGGTTAAGTTTTAAATATACCACACAGTTGAATTCCTTGGTTTGTGTATTTCTACTTCACTGTTTTTGTATATAGTGCTTTCTTTTTAAACTCAGTTTATAGATTTCCACAAGATCTTTTGCTTGTTTCTACAAGCTCTAAGCTTTTTAGAATAGCAATATTGGACTGGAGGTGTGGCTCAGGCAGTAGAGCACCCACTTTGCATGTGCATAGCCCTGAGCTCAAACTCTGCTCCCGCCCCTTCACACAAAAATCACTTGTATATCGAATGTCAATATTATGCTAAGTAAAAATAATCTGTTTTCATTTTCCAAATATACCAGACCAAATGGTTTATACAGTAAGATACCGTTGTGGTCAGCAGCTGGCGATTGAAGCACCTGTGGATGCAGATTTGGTTAGCACTGTTCCAGAATCTGCCACACCTGCTGCTCTTGGTTATGCAGGAAAGGTATTTTCTCTTAATTAATAGGTGATGAATTGCTCTTCTATCAGCAGAATAAGAAATTCTGACCTTTAAACTCATGAACTTACTGTAAAGAGAAAAGCAGATTTGGGGTTTATTTTTGGTTCCTTTGAATGAATTATTTATCAGCCTTTTAATTAAAGGGCAGTCTTTTAGTGAAGACCATAAAAAATTTCACCCAAAGACTAGTGTATTGACCCTATTCTTTAAAAAAAAAAAAGCTTCATGAATATAGGCATAGATTTAGTCATAATACAGATTGAGTATTCCTAATCCAAAACCCAAAATCCTCTGAAATCCAGTATTTTTGGGGCACCAACCTAATGCCACAAGTGGAGATTTCCATACCTGACCTCATGTGACACTTCATTGTCAAAAAACAGGCACATTAAAAGTACTACATACATTACCTTCAGGCTATGTTGTATAAGGTATATATGGAAAAAAGTGAATTTTGTCTTTGGACTTGGCTCCCATCCCTACGATTTCCATTGAACATGTAAATACGACACAATATGAAATTTGAGCTTCTGCCACACATACACACACACGTGCCAGCTGCTAGTAGTATATTTGTTTACTGCTGGACTTGGGTAGTAACAAAGTTGTGCATGTTCACTTTGTAGTGTTCTTAGGACTGTGCTTAATTTCATTTTTCATAACTTGGTGATTGTAGTTGTATTAATCCTAAGGTGTAATACCTAATATTCACTATCTGTGATAGTGTATTAGTCAGTTATCCATTGCTATAATGAAATACACCTGGGGGTGGATAACTTTATAAGGAAAAGAGGTTTGCTTATCTCACGGTTTTGCTGGGTTTGGGGAAATACTGATGGCAGATGGCACCACAATGGCAAGAGTGTGTGCAGGAGCCAGAGATCACATCTTCAGAGAGTAAAGCAGAGAATAATTCAGGAATCAGGCTCATGCATTTATAACAATTTGCTCTTGCAAGACCTGATTCAGAACCTCATGAGAACGACTTTAATGCCTTCTGAGGACAAGAAGCCCCCTACCCCTTAAAGATTCTACATCTCCTCCACACTGCCACACTGAGGACCTGTCCTCTGACACGTGAGCCAGAGCAGATAGGTTACTTCACTAGCTTCTACAAGAAATACTATGCATAGATTTTAGAGCTGGTTGTCTCAGATAATGGATGGGTAAACTCCTGTCCTGAGGAGCATCTCGCCTCCTGGTTTTAGCTAATTTCTATGTCACTAATTTTTAAATACGTGAAGCTTTTGACAGTGACTCTATTTTGTCTTCATGTGCCTAGTGTTTTCTACCATATAGAGGAATAATAATAGTTAAGAGAGAAGCACAAAAAATTCTAGCAAAATGAGTTGGTTTTTCCACAAGCTATATAATCTTCAGTGTTCCCCCCCCCACGGTTTAATAATGAAGGCAAAATTCAGAATAACAACCAAATTTAAGTATTACTTATATAAATAGCAATACAACTAGAGAAGAAAATAGAAGCCTAGAGTATTGTACGTATGGCTACTCATTGTCCATTTATTTCTTTGTCAGTGTGGACTTCCATATGTGGAGGTGCTGTGTAAAAACCGCTATGTAGGAAGAACCTTCATTCAGCCGAACATGAGGTTAAGACAACTTGGTGTGGCAAAAAAATTTGGAGTTTTGTCAGACAACTTTAAAGGCAAAAGAATTGTTCTAATTGATGATTCAATTGTCAGAGGTAATACCATCTCACCCATAATAAAATTGCTCAAAGAATCTGGTGCAAAAGAGGTAAGTAATGTTAAAACATATGCCAACATACCAGTAATTAACAATATATTGGCATAAGTGGAAATTCAGTATAGTGAATCAAAATGGATACTCCAAAATAAGTTAACTTTTCATATCAGATTGTTTTATGAGTAACTACGTAGCGACTTGTAGTGTAACAGCCATACTTCTAGTATATAGTAAATTTAATCCTGAACAGACAATATTTTTACAAAATTAATTAAATGACTAGTAAAAAACACAATTAAATGCTTTTTATTAAATTTTTTTTGGTGGTGCTGGTGTTTGAACTCAGGGCCTTGTGCTTAGGCAGCACTCTATCACTTGAGCCACTCCCTCAGCCCTCTTTTTTCAGGTATTTTCAAGATAGGGTCTTGGGAAGTATTTTATTTGCCTGGGCTGCTTCGAACCGCAGTTCTCCTGATCTGTGCCTCCCAGGTCACTATGATCACAGATGTGAACCACTGGTGCCCAGCTTAGGATGCTTTTTATGTCTTTTAAATCTTTCTCTATTTGAAGACAGAACAATTCCCAATGTGATAAATTTGATCCATTAAAGTATTTTCGTATCACTTTATCTGTTTAACTTTTATTTTTTCTATAGACAAATAAACATTTATATATTTAAAATGTATAAATTGTGGGTTTTTTGCAGTACTTGGGTTTGAACTCAGAGCCTCAAGCTTGCTGGGCATGCACTCTACTGTTTGAGCCACTCTGAGCCCTTTTTGTACTGAGTGTTTTTGAGGTAGGGTTTCAAGAACTACTTTCCTGGGCTTCAAACTGCGAAACCCACCTTCCAGCGAGCCACCAGCACCCAGAAGCATTGTGTGTTGGCACACAGGCATACCTTGTTGATTTTTTTTTTTTTTTAAACAAATTCAAAGTTTTGGCAACCCTGTATGGAATGAGTCATCTATTGGCGCCATTTTTCCAACAGCATGTGCTTATTAATTCATATGTCTTTGTAACATTTTTTTCATTATTGTATGTACTATGATCTGTGATTAGTGATTTTCAATGTTAACAATTGTAATTATTTTATGGCACCAATAACTGTGTCCATATAAGATGGCTAACTCCATTGGTAAATGGGTGTATTGTGACTGCTCCACCAGCTAGCTATTCCCTTCTCTCCCTTTTCATTGGCTTCTCTATTCCCTGAAACCCAACAATATTGAAATAAAGGTTTATGAATAACCCTCCAGTGGCTTTGAAGAGTTCAAGTGAAAGGAAGAACAATCACCTGTCACTTTAAATCAGATTCTAGGAGTGGTTTAGCTTAATGAAGAAGGCATGGTGAAAGCTGAGGTAGGCTGAATGCTAAACCTCTTGTGCAGCTAGCCAAGTTGTGAAGGTAAAGGAAACAGTCCTAATGGAAATACTTCTTTAGTGAATACAGGAACAAGAAGAAAGTAAAACTACCTTTGGTAATACAGAGAAAGTTTTAGTGATCTAGATGCAAGATCAAACCAGTTTCAACATTTCCTTAATGTTGTATAGCCCAGAGCAAGAGTCTAAAGGCTGAGAGAGTTGAGGCTGCAGAAGAGAAGTTCAAAGCTAGCAGATGTTGGTTATTGAGGTTTAAGGAATGAGTTCTCTGTAACCTAGAGGTGTGATGTGAAGGAGCAAGTGCCCATGTAGAGAGGCAGCAGTAAGTTATACAGAAGATCTAGTTAAAATCATTGATAAGGTGGCTATACCAAACAAGGTTTTCAGACAGCCTAATATTTGAAGAAGATGCCATGTAGGTTTACTGAGGCTTGCCTTCTAGACCTCCTAGACACACTGTCTTGTTAGGAGCTACTTCAGCTTTTTTTTTTTTCCCCCTTTTTTGAAGTACTAAGGATTGTACCTAGGGCCTCAGGCTTGCTATGCAAGCATTCTACCATTTGAGCCAAGCCCCCTCCCTTCTTACTTACACTTTGTTTTTAAGATAGGGTCTTGCTAACTTCCTGGGCTCGCCTTGAACTGGAGATCCTCCTGCCTCTGGAGTAGCTAGGATTACGTGCATGTGCCACACTGTCCAGCCAAGCTGGTGACTGTACGTTGAGGCCACTACTCACCATTCTCAAATTTCAAGGCTCTTAAGAATCAATAAATCTAAGCTGGCCATGGTGGCACAGGCCTGTAATGGAAGGCAGAGATAGAAGGGTCATGGTGTGAGGCTAGCTGGGCAAAAGCTTGAGACCTTACCCGAAAAAACAAGCTAAAAGCAAAAGGACTGGGCGCATGGCTCAAACAATAGAGCATGTGCAAGCATGATAACCTGAGACAGTCTCAAGTATGCACAAAAAAAAGATACTGTCAGTAAACCGTTCACGGAATTATGGAACTAAGTATGAGTAATAGCACAAATGTGTTTACAGCATGGTTTGCTGAATATGTTAGGCCTGCTATTGCTACTGCTCAGGGAAAAAGGATTCCTTTCAAAATATTAATACTCATTGACAATGCACCTGGTCACCCAAGAGCTCTGATGGATAGATTAGAGATTGATGTTGTGTTCTTGCCTTCTTGCACAATACCCAACAGCAAGTGCAGTGACTTTTTCCAGTCTTACTATTTAAGAAATGCATTCTAAAGGTATCTGTTATAGGAAGAAGTAGCATAGAGTGAAAGAAGACAGCCTGTATGTAGGACATTTCAAAGATAATTATGGTTATGATTTTCCAGCCACTTTATGGCTGGTTATGATTATGATAATATCAGTCTTTGGAATTCTGTGAAAATTATTTAGTAGAAAAGCAAATCCAACATGTTACATTAGTAACAAGGAATAGACAAAAACAAAGAACTTGGTAAATGGCATCTACCTGTGGGAGAATAGCAAAGTGATATATTGGTATGAAAATCAGTAAGAAGACTGCATAAGATAGGCGGTCTTTCTTATTATATGAAAGTTTAAAAAGGAAATGTGGACACTGATTATGGCCATCAAATGAACCTGAAAAGGGGCAAAAAAATAAATAAACAAAAATAGCTCTGTTACAGGAAATAATAAGGTTTTTGTTATATACCTGATGAATCATACCTTTGTCTTTAATATAGTAAAAGATAAGAGACAAAAGTATCATTTAGACATTAGAAATGAAAATGAGAGTCACACTAGGAATATAAAGTTGTTAAATGAGAACTGGGAGAGCTGAGGAAAGAAAATTCCTTATTAATAGGTAACATAAGAAAAGGTCTTGTATTAGTGAAACAAATTTCATAGTTATTACCATTACATCATTACTATACGTTTGTACTAATCTGTTTTTTTTTAAATTAGTATACATTCATGATAGGTTAAATACTTGCTAACCTATTTTATGCTACCTTTGATCAATGAAAGTTTTTACATAACTATTCTCACTGTCTTTGTGAAATGATTTTTTTCCCAAGGTGCACATTCGAGTAGCCTCACCACCAATTAGGTATCCATGCTTCATGGGAATAAACATTCCCACTAAAGAAGAGCTGATTGCCAATAAACCAGAATTTGATCGACTTGCAGAATACCTAGGTAGGTATTAAAACTTCTATAAACTTTAATTGTTCATTAATAGAAAACCTAAAACTTGTCAACCTTTATGTGTTTAATAAAATGTAGTGTTCAATATCTGGTAAAGGTAGTTATATATGTTAAACAGCTATCCAACACTATTTTGAATATTGAGAGTGGTGAGTGTGAATAGATAGCACTCCTTAGTAAATGCTGTGTTAAAGAAGTAGGCCAAGGTGCAGGCTAAGAAGGAAGAATGAGTTAGAGGGATCTGCAAGCATATCGTTAATACCTCCAAAAGGTCAGATCTCAAGGTGGGGTGGGAAAACCGTTTTAGCTGGCATGGCTGGTACCTGCCTGTAATCCCAGCTCCTCAAGGAGAATCACAGTTCAAGGCCAGCTCAGGCAAATAGTTTCTTGAGACCCTGTCTCAAAAATACCCAATACTAAAAAAGGGCTGGTGGAGTAGCTGAAGTGGTAGAGCACTTGCTTAGGTAAGCACGAGGCCCTGACTTCAAACCCTAGTACTGCCAAAAAAAAAAAAAAAATTACAGATTCTAACAATGATTTGGATGTTCAGGAGACTTGAAAATGTAAATTATCCATAATAAGATTTTTACTTCCAATATCAGGGAATGTATGGATTAATAAATGTCACATGTTTGTCATTGTGCCTTGGTACCTCCCCACGGGTTGTTTATGACTGGCATTTCATTTGATTGGTCATGCCTATATCTTTCCCCAGTGGCTTTCATATTGTGAGCATTCACATTTTTCCAGGAACCATGCTGCATGCATTTTCTGTATCACTATAATAACAGCAGAAAAACTCTACAGTTAGGCAGCATTTATGTTGCCCTTCTTATACATGAAAAATATATACACTTAGAAAAGTAAGTGACTATGAGCTTAAGTTTGATGTCAGATCCTGACTTTGAAATCTCACATGTGTAAGAACCTAGATTTGATCCCATCTCCAGCTGCACCAAAAAATACAAAATTCACAATCAAGAAAATTTCTCTTCAAGTTTTCTAAGCATGAAGGTTGTTTTAAATCATATCATCCTATAAATTCCTATTTAAATCTTCAGGCTCTTGAGTTTCCTTGTGTGCACACGCACGCGCTGTACTGGGCGTTGAACCCAGAGCCTGTGTATGCTAGTAACCATCAAGCTACATTCCCCACCCACATTCTTTTTAATATTTTGAGACAGGGTCTCAAAAAGTTGCCCAGGCTATCCCCAGACTTTTTTTGGGACAGTGAGAACTCAGTATTTTTGTGCTTGCTAGACAGATGCTCCTCCAGTTGAACTATGCCTCCAGCCCTTTCTCAGAGATGTGGTCTCACTTTTTGCCCAGGCTGGCCAGGACCATGATCTTCCTGTTGTAAGCTTCCCATTGGTTGCTGGGATGGCTGGCACACACCACCACACCCAGCTATCACTTGAGATAGGGTCTCCTAACTTTTTATATGAGCTGGCCTCAATCTGCAATCCTCCCATCTCTTTAAAGAAAGGCTAAAGGAGCGAATTTTTCATGATTTAAATGATATTGTTTGTGACTATTCTGTGTTGAAATATTGCCTTCTTTCTTAAGAAAGTCTCTTGACCGTTTTATTTCTCCCTCTTTCCTCCTGTAGGAGCAAACAGTGTTGTGTATCTGTCAGTAGAAGGACTAGTTTCATCTGTACAAGAAGAGATAAAATTCAAGAATCAGAAAGTGAAAAAGCATGACATTCTGATTCAAGAAAATGGAAATGGTCTGGAATCTTTTGAAAAGACCGGTCATTGTACAGCCTGTCTCACTGGAGAATATCCTGTAGAACTGGAATGGTAGCGGGTAGAGACAGATTTATTGCTTCAAGAGAGAATGCTGGTCAAGAAGTGGTTATTCATTATCTATTTGCTCAGCTGGTACAAAATAAAATGCCACATGCTTATGTTTACCTTTTTAAGTTTTGAGACTTTTTGATGAAAGGGTACCAAAGTGCTATAATTGGACCTTGCTTATTGCATATAATACAACATGTGGGATTCTTTTATATGTGTAAGCATTGGCTCACCGTTTTCACCTGCTCAGAGAACACAAGCAGTAAGTGGTATTTGCCAAGACCATGCCTAAAGGGTTTTCAAGAGGTTAAAGTAAGATAGGAGGTGTAATGCAAACAGGACAGTTGAATTAAATAGAACATTTCTTGTGAAGTTGGAATTTATTCTTCCCCATAGGTGTATAGCCTCCATAGTTCTGCCTATGGTTATCATCTTGGCTTCCATGTCTAACCTTAGACAACTCATTCCCCACCTTAAAGTGTTGGGGAATCAATGGACAACAAGAATAACAAAACTTAGGCTGAGTGAGGAGGATCTAGAGTTCAAGACCAACCTATGCTACATTGTGAGACCCTGACCCTATCTTTAAAAAACAAACAACAACAAAAATCTGTGCCTCAGTATGCAATCTATGCAATGAGGTATTAAGAGTAAATAAAAATTAGTAAGAATGTGAGTAAGTGTCGTACTTTTGGTGGTTACAGCCATCATTTGCCCCTAAATTTTAAGATATTACATGATCATTAGTGTTTGAAAAGCTAATGTTCAGTAGCTCCCTTAGAATTAGTTTTCAATTGATTTTTCAGTATGGAGGGAGATGTACAGTTTTACAGAACTTTGCCCTTCTGTCTTTGAGATGCCCTAAGAATGGTTATAAAAATATGTCTGTGGATAAGTTTTTCCTACACTTGACTAGGAAATGTGACCCCTAATATTTAGTACCCTAATAATGTAAGTCCAATAGTAACTTAGTACAAAACAAAATTTAAGTTCCAAGTCCATTCTTAATTTGATTAATCACGTTTTAAAAATCAAGTGCTTGATCATTTGCAACTGTATATACATATATGTTTATATAGACATACATATGATTAAAATTAAGTGATTAAATAGAAATGCAGGGGCTAATTTTGTTTTAAAGATCAAGAACAAGTACTTTTGTGGAATTCTAATGTTATATTAAAGCATCAACTTAAAATCCCTTTTTTCTACTTTTTTAAAATTAGGATCTAATCAATTCGTTTATTCTGAAGTTTTTTTCTTTAACTCAGATTTAGAAGATTGATATGATTTGCCTTCTAACTCCTGTTTATGTAAAGTTTTAATAAAAGTGTGTTTGTATTGTGTTACCACAATTTGGCGTATGTAGTTTCCAAATTTATTTAGAAATTTAATATTTATTAATAATTGGAATTATTACTTTGCATTTGGTATAGTCTCACATGTTATATTATGGCAGGTCAGGACAAATGTTGATAGTTTTTAAAGATCACTTGATGCTTTGGCTCAGATGACCTGTGGCAGAGATGCAGTTAAATCTGGATCTTAGAGCCCTGGGACCATTTCTGCATGTGTAGCCTCCTGTTCAATGTGTTCCCCATGCAGCATGGAGGAGGGAAGTCCTGTAGGTTACTTTTGGAATGGCCTTACTTAATTTGATTTTTAAACACAAGAGACTCAGGGAAAGTACTAAACCAAAATCTACGATTTGACTTTGTGTTTTCCATAGTTTTTATTTTATTGGGATGTTTTTATAAAGGAAAAAGTTTGGCAATTCTATAAACTTCTAATATTTCTCCATTGTTGCCTTTTATTTCACAAGTTTCTGAAGTATGAATTACTTTTTTTTATTATCAGTTTCAAATATTATTTAATTTCATCCAATTTATATGAGTATTGTGAACTGCAGAAAAGATTTAAAATGTTTTCACAGCATCTGTATCATAGACTTAAGCCTTTTTTTTGTTACCTCTTTGTGATCTCTTGGTGACAAATATATATATATATATAATAAGTATGTTTAATTATGTGTGTTTGTGTTTTTAATAGTGACATTTAGTGTATTATGATAATATCTAGGTCCTGTACTTGACACCAGGTATTCAGATCTTATTTCTCTGATCCAGGCATTTTAAGAAATAGGTCATCTATTATGAGCCAGGCAGAAGTTTTTCTGGTTGAGTGCGAGGGACAAATAGAAAATGAAATGCTAAGGAAGCACTATTATAGAACAAGTTCTTTGGAAATACTAGGGTGAATGAAAGGATTCAGATTTTTAAAATGTATGTGTTAAGGTATTGTTTTTAAAATCAAGCTAAAGCTGAGCACCAGTGTCCCGTGCCTGTAATTCTAGCTACTTGGGAGGCTGGGATTGGGAATATTGCAGTTTGAGGCCAGGGGCAAATAGTTCACAAGAGCCCCACCCCCCCAATAACCAGAGCAAAATGAATCAAAGTTGTGGCTCAAAGGGTTCAGAGCCTGCTTTGCGAGTATGAAGCGCTGAGTTCAAACCCCAGTCTCACCCCAAAAAAGAAAAATCTAACTAGGTAAATGGATAAAGTATAGGACATCAGATAATGGACTATTATATCAGTGGTATGAAGAAATGAGCTATCCAATAAAGGAAATGCAAATTAAAACCACACTAAGATTCCACCTCACCCCTGTTAGAATAGCCATCATCAGCAACACCACCAACAACAGGTGTTGGCGAGGATGAGGGGAAAAAGGAACCCTTACTCTGTTGGTGGGAATGTAGACTAGTACAACCACTCTGGAAAAAAATTTGGAGGCTACTTAAAAAGCTGGACATCGATCTACCATTTGATCCAGCAATACCACTCTTGGGGATATACCCAAAAGACTGTTACTCCAGAGGCACCTGCACATCCATGTTTATTGTGGCACTATTCACAATAGCCAAGTTATGGAAACAGCCAAGATGCCCCACCACTGACGAATGGATTAAGAAAATGTGGTATCTATACACAATGGAATTTTATGCAGCCATGAAGAAGAACGAAATGTTATCATTCGCTGGTAAATGGATGGAATTGGAGAACATCATTCTGAGTGAGGCTAGCCTGGCCCAAAAGACCAAAAATCGTATGTTCTCCCTCATATGTGGACATTAGATCAAGGGCAAACACAACAAGGGGATTGGACTATGAGCACATGATAAAAGCGAGAGCACACAAGGGATGGTTGAGGATAGGTAAGACACCTAAAAAACTAGCTAGCATTTGTTGCCCTTAATGCAGAGAAACTAAAGCAGATACCTTAAAGCAACTGAGGCCAATAGGAAAAGGGGACCAGGAACTAGAGAAAAGGTTAGATCAAAAAGAATTAACCTAGAAGGTAACACCCACGCACAGGAAATCAATGTGAGTCAATGCCCTGTATAGCTATCCTTATCTCAACTAGCAAAACCCCTTGTTCCTTCCTATTATTGCTTATACTCTCTCTACAACAAAATTAGAAATAAGGGCAAAATAGTTTTTGCTGGGTATTGAGGGGGGGGGAGCGGGAGGGGGTGGAGTGGGTGTAAGGAGGGGTGGGGGCAGGGGGGAGAAATGAACCAAGCCTTGTATGCACATATGAATAATAAAAGAAAAATGAAAAAAAAAAAAGAAAATGAGCTATCAATTGTGAAATGATGCAGAGTAAACTTAAATGTGTATTAATAAAAATGCTACAGACTGTATTCAACTGTATACAATCTAAAAAAGGCAAAACCAGGGAGACAAGTTATCTTTTGATAAGTGGACTGGGTGCTGGTGGCTCATTCCTGTCATCCCAGCTACATTGGGAGGTTCGCTATTCTAGGCCTTACCTAGGTGAAAAGTTTGTCTTGACAGAAAAACCTAGGTGTGGGTGTGTGCTTGCCATCACAGCTACTGTGGGAAGTGGTACAGGCCGGCACAGTAAAAGACCTATCTCAAAAATAAGTAGAGCAAAAGGGACTGGAGGTGTGGCTCAAGTGGTAGAATGCCTGCTAGCAAGCACAAAGCTCTGAGTTCAAACCCCAATATTACACATTAAAAACAGAAAACAGCAGTAACAAAAAACCCCAGATAAGTGGTTGTCATAGGATGGTGGGGATGGAAGGAAGAATGAGTAGAACACAAAGGACTTGAAAACTACACTGTAATGATACTGTAATGAATTATGATGAATGTGTCCCACTGGTGCGGGATATTAGTAATGGAGATTACATGGGGACAGAGCACATGGAAATCCATACCTGCTACTTAATATTGCTATTAACCTGAAACCTCTGTTGAAAGTAGTCTATTCATTTGGGAGGAAGGGTTCACCTTTCCTTAAAATTTTATTTTTGAATCAGCATACATTAATAATGAGGGAATTTCATTGGTAACAGTATACTTTGAAAAAGTACACCTCCCATATTATATTTCTTTCCCCCTTTTACAAACGGTGTTTGTAGGATTCATCATGCTACCTTTTGTGTATGTATGTAATGTACTTTGACCCTCCTTACTCCCTCCCCCCAGTATCCTTTACCTCCCTCTTTCTGCTGATCACCTCCATAGACAGTCCCCCATAAAACAGACTATTTTACCAGAGTTCCACTTAGCAAAAAAAATCAAAATAATACATTCATGTACTTTAAAAGTTAGGAAACAAGAAGGTTCTATACTCTGGTGTATATGGTGCATATGCATTTAAATCTTTCTGTTATTAATCTGTTTTAAAATTGGCTCATACTATGTATTAATATACTAATTTACACAATCCTTTGTTCTCCTGCCCTAGAAGCTAGCAAAATACATTTTGACAGGCAGAGAATACATTCAGGTTTATAAAAATTGCTTAAAAGTCTTTTTTTTTTTTTTTTTTTGCTTTTAGTTGTCCTGGGGTTTGAACTCAGGACCTCACATGTGCAAGGCAGAAGGTCTACCATTTAAGCCACTCAACCAGTATGCTTAAAAGCCTTAATTAGCATTTAAATCAGTTGACTTTTGAGTAAAGTAGATTCCACTGCATAACGTGGGAGGCCTCATCCAATCAGTAGAAGGCATGAAGGCAGACTGAGGCTTCCTGAAAAGGAAAAAAATCCTAAAGACTGCAACATAAAAAACTGCCTTCCACTCTGATGGTCTTCAGAATTTGAACTCAAGGCTACAAACTTGGCCGGCACCTGTGGCTCACGCCTGTAATACTAGCTACTCAGGAGGCAGGGATTAGAAGGATTATTGTTCAAGGCCTGTTTGGGCAAATAGTTTGTGACACCCCATCTTGACAAAACAGGGCTGGTGGAGTGGTTTAAGTGGTAGAGTGCCTGCCTAATGAGCATGAAGTCCTGAGTTCAAACCCCAGTACCACTCACAAATACCACCCCCAAAAAGAGTACAAACTCAAAACTTCCAGCCTGCTGTTCTTCCCTCTAGACTTCAACTCTCACAATCATGTGAGTTAGTTCCTTAACACCAATCAATCAACCAATTGTTTTCTAGATACTCATATCCTGTTAGTTATGGTTCTCTGGAATCTAATATAGTGGCTTTTTCTCTTGCAAACAGCCTGACTGCCCTCATCCTCTAATTTTAGTCTCTGTCAAAATAGCATACCTGAATAACCTAATCACTATTTTCTCACTGCCTTCCGAGCAACTGAACAGTTAAAATAAACGGTGCAATGCACTATTATCCCAGTTGTGGTATGTGCTGCAAATGTACCTGACAGGGATCTCAATTTTTTTCCTAATGGGTCCAGGACTTACAAGGAAATGGAATTTTTTTTTTCCTTTGGCGGTGTTGGGGCTTGAACTCAGGAACTCATGCTTGCTAGGCGGGTGTTCTGACCCTGGAGCCACTCCGCCAGCCTGAGGAGTGAAATGAAAATGGAATGGGACAGAGTATGAAGATAGTTGGGGAAACAGGTGCATAAGACATGAATCTGTTTTCAACACACTTGCTATTTAATATAAGAAGCGAGTGCAGTTGTTAGAGGTACTATAAGAAATAACTTCTTCTGGAGGAAGAGCCTGGGATTATAACCTATATTAAAGCTAAACTGGCCAGGCCTTGGTGGTTCATGCCTATAATCCTAGCTACTCAGGAGGCAGAGATCAGGAGGAGCTCAGTTAAGATCCAGCCTGGGCAAATAGTTCACAAGACCCTATCTTGAAAAAGCCCGTCACAAAAATGGGCTGGTGGAATGGCTCAAGGTATAGGCCCTGAGTTCAAACCCCAGTACCATTCCCCCTCCAAAAAAAGGAAACTAAACTGATTGAGGGCCACATTGATGAGATCCATGTGTGAAATGAAGAATTTTCTTACCCATGGGCTAAAGCAGTACCACCTTGCACTTGGAAGGCTGAGGCCACAGGATAGTGAGTTTGAGGCCAGCCTGGGCTAGATAGTGAAACCCTGTCTCATAAATAAAAATAAACCCTAAAACACAGGAGCTCATGATTGCATCAGTTTCGAGTACAGGGATGATGGAGGGATTCCAACAGTGGGTTGTGTGACAGATTAATCCACTTACTACAGTAAATGGAAGCAAGCTTGCTCTTTGCCTGGAGGAGATACCTCTTTGACTCAAATTACTTACCCAAGTAACCCTGGAAATTGAGCTGGATAAAGGGCTGTCAGGGCTTTGCATTCTTGGCATGCCTAGCAAGACTGTGTAGGGACACAGTCTATGACAGACCGGACCTCCCGAAAGTATGCTGATTTATGGAAAAGCAGTTACAGAAGGATTTGTGATTTTTCAAGGGCTGGAGAGGTGATGTTTAAGTTGTGTTTTCTTCAAGCCCAGGGGAGGGAACAACATTTTAGCCAGAGACTCAGCCAACACATGGGTGTGGAAACCTGATAAGGACAAGGTATGCTCAGAAAGCTCGCTAGCATTTCATTATGGCTTAGAACTTAGAGGTTAACAGGTGTGGGAATGTAGAGGGTGGGGGCAGGGGAGCTGTGGCCAGCTGTAAAAGATCAGCCTAGAAAGATAAAGAACTATCTTAAGTTAGGGATTCAGCTAGGCCTGACTTGAACTGCCTTGTATCATAATCACCATGATTGTCCCTGACTAACTCTGACTGCATTCCCTGCAGTTTCCTAGCACACTATAAATAAACAAAAGCATTAGAAGGTATGTGGGCTTTACCACCCAAACCCTGGTGCCATCAGTGCCAGAGATATGTATGACTTCCTTGATACTAGTTTGAGACAAACCAGGTATGTTTTGACTTGGACAAAGTCACTTTTGTCCTAACAATTAATTATACAAGCCTCTTCTGACCCAGTTTGTAAGGATCCGTTGGTCTTGCTGCTGCCCAGAATCATGTTTCTTTGGTAAGTCCCCAGTAAGTGGCACGCTGCAATCCTGGTTCTGTCTGCTCCTTTCTGTAATCTCATGGCACCTCATAAACTGGCACCGGTCATTCCAGAACATGTGTTTACCTTGCTAAAGAGTGACTACAAACCAGGTGTGACTGTACACAACTGTGATCACAGGCAGGCAGAGACAGGAGGATCTTGAGTTTAAGGCCAGCCTAGGATACATAGGGAGATTCTGTCAAAACCAATAAAAAACAAACACCTTACTCTTATAATATATGTCACTGAAGCCTCTTAACTCTTTTAGCAGGAGAGTGCCATGACTAGTCTGGTATGTTTTAGAATGATGAGTCTGAATTATCAGGTCAATGGGTATTTTCAACAGTCTTCTACATGTGTTCCCTCCTTTAAGACCCCCTAAAATGATGACAGTAAAAGGATTTTTGGGGGGAGGGGGTGCTGGGTATTAAACAGGCATTTGTGCTAGGCAAGTGCTCTACCACTGAGCTATATTCTCAATGTCTCATAAAGAGATTGTAAAAGAATAAACAACCTTCAAGTATAGACAGTAAAGGGAATAGAAATAAAGTTCTAGAACCAACAGCAAAGGGCTCAACAATTTGGGAAAGCTAAATTCAAAACCAGTCACATACAAAGCCAACAGTGGATCCTATTTATATCAACAGTCCCTAAAAATCTCAAACTGGCTACTTGAAGTGTAGGGGTAAAGAGGGGGGAAAAAAAAAGGACTGAAAGTTCCTTAAGGAACGAGTTCTATCCTTTTAGAACCCTCCCATTCCTCAGCCTAGGTTTGAAGGTTTCTTTGTTCAAGAGGGAATAAAACAAAGTCTTTGTTTAGAGGACATTAGATACCTAAGAAAGGAGAATTAAATGAAAGTTATACTGGATTGAAGCACCCTCCACTCTGAAACCCTTCTCTCCCACCTGATTTTCAACAAACTTGTCCAAAGGACTCAGGTTGCAACTTTAACATGTGAGCAATAATTAAGGATTAGACACCTTAAAAATACTTCTAACTTGAAAGACCAAGGCCCAAAACCAATAGAAGAAAAGAAACTGTAAGGAAATAGCAAGAAGAAAAAAAAGACTTTTTGAAACTATCATTAATATCAAAAAGCTGGCCGGGTGTGGTAGTGCATTCCTGTAATCCCCAGGACTGAGGTGGAAATATTAGGGTTCCAGGCTAGCCTGGGCTACAGATTGAGACCCTATGTCAAAAGCAAAACAAGAGCTAGAAGGTGATACTGCAATAAGAAACAGCAATACAGAGTCAATTGGGGCCAAATAATATTGGAAAGTCTTTCGGAAAAAGACCAGGAAAGACCTGAACCAAGGAGGCAAAAGAGATTATGATGACCTTTTAGAAGGCCCTCAGGAAAAGACTTTAAATCAGCTTCACCGTTGCAGTCCAAGTCCCCATCAGTCTTGGGTATAGTTTCAGAAAATGTCCAGTGGAAGCCCGGCGCCGGTGGCTCATGCCTCTTACACACACACACTCCAGTGAATATAGCTCTATCACTCGCCTTTTACACTATTTTCCTATCAGTCTTAGATATTTGGAAGCGGGAGGGGGCAGAGGGCTGGGGTTTGAACTCGGGGCCACACCTCCAGTCCATTTAGTTCTGGTTATTTTGCAGATGGGGTCTCGCGAGTTATTTGTTGCATGGGCTGGCCGCTCAATCTCAGCCACTCAAGTAGGTAGGATTTACAAGGCGTGAGCCAACTGGCGCCCGGCCTCAGCCTTAGATCTTTTTGTCCCCACTTCCACGGCTGCTTAAAAGTCAAAAATCTCGCCTACAATTCCTGGCAAGTAGGAATGGTTACGACTCCAAGCTCGTCTGCTCCAAAGTCCTCATAAACCCTGTCCCACACTCAGCATGACCAGGCTAAGAAACCAGACTCCGCAACACTTCTCTCCAGCTACCTCCACAGCCTCAAGACCCGAGGTACAGGGAAAGGGTACCAGCCCTCCGTCGCTGGCGCTGACGTCAGCGAGGCGACACGAAAATTTACGTGAGGAGCCGCGCGGCTTTACGGCTGCTGGGTAGCTTTACGGCTACTAGGTCGCGGCTGCGCCCTCTGAAAAGGTTCCTGGGCGGAGTCTCAAAAAGGTCTGAATGGGTCGGACGTCCACCCCAGGCCTTGGTTTTCTGCTGAGTGGCGATCGTTGACAAAATCCCGCGGGGATTTGTGAGACGTGCGCCAAGTGTGGCGGGGCCTGAGTCTGTTCCCGAACAGGTTTGCTCAGCTTCAGGACTCTTCTGGGCTGGGAATGGAGGCTGTGGGGCGTGGCGAGCTAGTGTGGAGCAAACTGATGTGACCCTTGTGCTCTTCTTCGAGTCACCTGCCTTCTAGTGTGGTGTCGCAGAGCCACACCAGAAAGAACGCTTTGGAAGCTGAAAAGTGCATTTTGTTAATAAACGCAATCCAGGTGTCTATCTCATAATAAACATAGTTGCCGAAGGGTGGATAAGGGAAAAATTAAGTTTCTAGGTTACTTTATCTATCTTTAAAATACTCAGTAACCTAGGGAGGATCCTTAAGTTAAAATTTTAAATTATTTTTAAGTTTTAAATTAAAAATTGGCTGATGATCAAATAGCTTCTAGAGTTGTAAAAAGTAGCAAAAAATTAATACCGTTACATATCAAATGTTTATCACATACTCCTTTCTTGTTCTTTTAAGGCCGCAAAATGACTGGCGTCGAATAAGTGTTCTTTATTGGAAACAATGTGTATTTATGATTTAATGAATGAAAACCTGCGGCCGAGTTTTGCCACGGGGAACTTGGAAATTAAAAGTAGGAAAGAAACATCTTAATTGTTGTATAGATATGTGTGGTGAGTGTTATAATTTCTCATGAAATGGCATTACTTTGATGTGAAATAATTTTAAGGATTATGATGTATTAAACAGATTTTTTCTCTTGTGGAAAACGAGCTGTTGTACATGTTTTTGCATTCAAGGGAGGGGGAAAGCACCTTTGGCACCTAGACTAAATTTTTATAAAAATACCTCATAATAATACCTTACATAGTGTAGGCAGTTTGGTATTCATGTGCAGAAGAGGGAGGCAGGTGCCTTTCTTGCCTACTTTGTGTTGCAGAATCAACTCCCCACAGTTGTAATGCATGCTGTGGTCCTTGTACTTAGGTAACAGTCATTTATAGGTCTAAGGAAAAGTTGAAAATTGTATCTTGTGTACCACAGAAGAGCTAATATTACAGAAATGATTACCAAAAGGGAACCACAAATATTAAAATTATCTTGTTTTTGAACTTCATATTTAGAAATTACAACATTTTCAAATTTTATGGGTTTCAGCAGTTATTGGTTCATTTTTCTTGATTTAAAAATGTTTTATGGGCTGGTGGAATGCTACTCAAGTGGTAGAGTGCCTGCCTAGCAAGTCTGAGGCACTGAGTTCAAACCCCAGTACCACAAAAAAGAAAAGAAAAAAGTATTTTATTTGCTCTAATTGTTATTTAAATGACATGAATGACAATTAATTTTATTTTGAACCAGTAAGAAAATCAGTTAGAATAAGTGTGAACAAATATAACACTTGAATAATGAAAATAGGCTACTTGGTAAATATTTTCTGTGAAATATGGAAAATAGGGTTGGGAGGGAAAGTCACCTTAAAGGAAACACTTAATTGTTGTGAGGGTTTTTGTTTGTTTGTTATAATTGATCCCATATTTAGAATCTAAATTTAAGAGAACTTATTGTCAACTTAAAAAACAAAATAGAGAATGAAGAGCTTGCTTCTTAATAATTATAAGAGCAACTTCTGAATAATATAATAAATAATGGTAAACACTATTGCTGTATAGATGGTCTAAAACTGGATGAATATAGTGTGAGGTTTTTCGGTTTTCTATGAAAGCTTGATTTCAGGGCTGAACATGCAGGGTGCTTGCTTTGCAATCATGAGATCCTGGGTTTAATTCTCAGCACCGAAAATAAAAAAAAAAAAAGATTTTGCTTTCACTTCAATTTAGCACCTATACGAATTTCAAAGCAGACTTCATTTACATTAGTCTTTTTTAATTCACTGTTTAGAAGTTTGACCACTATATTTGTAATCTGTAACATTAACTGAAGGAAAATTAATAGTGTAGCACTTAAATTTTGTTTTATGGTTTAATTTTTTTTACTTTGTGTTTAGTTGATAAAAAAATCTACATTTTTACTGTCTCATTCTCATTTATGTATATCACGTCCGTATCAATGTTTTTAAAATCTCTGACCCAGTGTTAGACCATATCAAAGTGCAGAGCTTCTTCAATTATGTATTTTGGATACAGCTTTTTGTTTGTTTATTTTGTTTCTTGTGCTAGGAGTCAAACCAAGGATCTCAAATGCATTTGAGAAAGGCTCGCCTTCTATAACTGAACTACACATTCAGCCCAACATAGTAATTTTTGGGAGAAGCAGTTAGAGATTTTTCGTCTTCTCTGCCCACTAATGTCCCTAAAACTTCCTGTCCTCCTCACGTTTCTGCCATCCATGTTTAGATGAACTTCAGTGAAATGACTCTTCAGGAATTGGTGCATCAGGCTGCCTCCCTTTATTTGGACAAAATAGCTGTATGTTTTGATGAATGCAACAACCAGCCTCCAGTTTATTACACCTACAAGACTGTAGTTAATGCTGCTTCAGAATTAACAAATTTTTTGGTATCACTCTGTGACTTTCAAGGAATTCGTGAAATTGGTCTCTACTGTCAACCTGGGATAAACTTACCCTCCTGGATTTTAGGGTAATAATTTTTTTTAATAAATTTCATATTTCTCTGAGCTAATTTATAATATGGCAAGTTACTGTTCTGTGTACTATTAGATTTTTCTTTTTCTTTCTTTCTTTTTTTTTTTTTTTTGGTGGTACTTGGGATTGAATTTAGGACTTTGTGCTTGACAGGTAGACTCTGTACCCAAAAGGGGCTTCACCCTTTTTTGTTTTGTCCACTTTTGAAATAGGGTCTGGAATTTTTGCCAGGGCTGGTCTGGATCCCTACCTCCTGTTTATTCTTCCTGGGTAGCTGGGGTGGCAGGTGTGTACCATCATGCTCAGCTTTTGTTGGTTGAGATAGGGCCCCACTAAGTTTTTGCCTGGGCTGGCTTCCCTAGCTCCAGGCTTGGAGTCACTCAGCCCTTTTTCTTTTCTTTACTTTTTTGATGGTACTAGAGATTGAGCCCAGAGCTTTGTACATGCTATGCAAGCATTCCATCACTTGAGCTACAACTTCAGCCCCACTATAGTGTATTTTCTGCATTGTTTGTTCAATTCTAAAGAGACTCAGCGTTCACTTTTCTCCTAGTAGTATTTTTAACTATTTAAATAATCTGAGCTTATTTAGGAAAGAAATTTTCACCAATAGAACGTTTGAATATCTCCAAAATATAAGGGTTTCATTAGTCTGTCAAAGGAAAATAATTTTACTAGTTTATAATAATGTGTTGTTAGATTAAAGAAAACAAGGATTTCAGATCTAATACAAATGTTTTAGGTACTGGGATAGTCAGCAAGTGAATGAATGAGAATATTAAATAATGGTCCATTAAATTTAAATTGTGAAGGTTGAGGATGTAGCTCAGTCATAGAGCATTTGGCTGGTATATGCAAGGCCCTTGTTTTGATCCTCAGCACCAAAGAAGGAAAGAAAAGAAAAAGAAATATGAATCCATTGCAAGACACTAAGATACTCAAACAAGTATTTATAAGATGTTTAATCATTTAAAATGTTACAGATTATTCTCTTATGGTGATTTATGTTCTATGGCACTGAAGTAGATAAAGGCTGTCCAAGAATTATAGACGTTGATATTCGTCCCATGATTTATGTCTTAGTAGATTCACTGTGTAAGACAAAAAGCATTCCAAAACTTACTCATCACCAACAAGTTTATTGAGAATATGAAAAGATCTAGTTTCCTCAAGGTGTATCTCAAAGAATTTTTAGTTACGATGACTAGATTGTCTTTAATCTTGTTTATATGCATTGTTACATATGAAAATTTAAAGGTGGCTACCCCCCACCCCATCATGTATCCTGATTTTGGTGAAATACATCTTTTGTATTTCAGTGAGTTTCATATGAATGTTTAGCTTCTTTTATGTTACCTTGCATAGACTCATGAAGAAATTAGACTGTGCTTCCTGTTTCGTATTTTAGTAGTGGCCAATGAACCAAGCATATTATACTGTAATACATTGACTTTTTAAAAATCTTTTATTTCATTGGGCACCAGTGCTTGTAATCCTTGCTACTTGGGAGGCAGAGATCAATCAGGAGGATCATGGTTCAAGGCCAGCCTGGACAAAATGAAAGCAAGACCCTATGTTGAAACTACCCAATACAAGAAATAGACCGGCAGAGTGGCTCAAGTCGTAGAGCGCCTGCATAGCAAACGTGAGGTCCTGAGTTCAAACCCTAGTACCTAAAAAAAAGCACCACTTTTATTTCTTCATAATAAGTGATAAGAACTTAACATAGGACTTTATAATACTCTAGGTATTCATTAAGAACAAGATAAAATAATAATATTTATAACCAAAGAAATGTTATGGAAAACATTGGTAATTTTTGGTTGACAACGTATCCTGTGCTGACTCTGTACTTGTTTCTTTAGAATTCTCCAAGTCCCTGCTGCTTATGCTCCTATTGATCCAGATTTACCAGCATCATTATCAGCTTATTTTATGAAAAAATGTAATCTAAAGTATATTCTTGTTGAAAAACAGCAAATTAATGTAAGTCCATGTATTTATGTGTGTCTGTTACGTTATCTTTTTTTGTGGCAGTATGGAGTTTGAACTCGGTGCCTTGAGCTGGTCTACCACTTAAGCCACCCACCCAGCCCTGAATTTATCTTTTAAGAAATTCCCCTCTCCCCTGTCTTGGTTCTAAGTTTGCTAACTCTGACAATGTTTCTCAGTTTCAGCACTGTCAATATTTTGGGTTGAATAATTGCTTGTTGTGGAAAATGCCTTGTACATTATAAGATATCTAGCATTAGATACCAGTAGCACCTCCCAATTGTGACCGCCAAAAATGTCCAGACATTGCCCGTGTTCCCTGATACTCTCTGCCCCTCAAATTCCATTGAGGAGCACTTCCATTCATGAAAGTATCTTCTAGCCTTATAATAATGTCTGTGCATTGTTCTGAATTTCCTTTCTGTTTCCAAGTATTTTCTATATGGGGAAATTTTTATAAATGCTTGAAAGTTTTATCTTCATGTATTTATGACAATTACAGTGGTCAAGAACATTAAAGAATTGTAGCCAAGCTTATATTTCGCAAAAGAGACTGGCCCTTAGATCAGACCTTTCTGGAAAGCTAAATTTATTATTGTTATTATTATGTGCCTGCCAACAAAAGATGTAGCCAAGAACCAGCCCATTGTTCTTTGTTTTCACTGGTGGGGATCAACCTCAGAGTTTTACGAATGCTGGACAATTATTCCACCACTGAACTACATTTCCAGCCCCTAAGACTAGTTTTAAAACTTGTCTTTTAGTGCGTGTGTGTGTCTGTGTCTGTGAGTGATGCTGGTAATGGAACCCAGAGCCTTGTGCATGCTAGACAAATGCTCTACTCCTGAGATACATCCCTAGCCCATCAAGTTTCATTACTATTTCTTTATTTCTTATGTATAAAATCTTGTTTTACCAGAGAGGAAGAACACTATATAAGATACACTCAACTTAGCCTGCTTTTACCCATTTCCATTATGAACCAATTTATATTTGAGAATAAACTAAATATACTCCGTGTGTGTTTGTATGTATAGACACAAAGGAAGTATCAAGAGCTTGAGGTCTATGGAGAGCTCCCTAGAGAATCATGAGTATTTGAGTAAGGTCCCTAGAAAGAGAAAGTGTTAATTTGGTTAATAATTGTTTAGGAATAAACATTTGTCAGTATCTGGCCAAAGCTTTTTCTTGTACTACTCGAATTCCTTTTTGTTGGTAAGTAGGCAAAACTGAAATGGAGCTAGAATATTGATTTTTTCTTAAAAACCTTGGTGAAAGTTTTATAAAAGAGGGGGTTGAGTGTGAGAATTAACTGTCAATATCAAGATTTGGTTTTTTGTTTTGGTTTTTTTGCAGTAATGGAAAGTAAATTCAGGGCTTAGTACATTCTGGTCAAGCACTCTAAGCAGCATACCCTTCTGTTGGTATTTAGTTATTTTAGATAGTCTTGATAACTTTGCTTAGGCTAGCCTTGAACTCAGAAATCTTCCAGCCTCTGCCTCCTAGCTGGGTTACAGGCATACATACCATGCCTGGCTTTTGCTTTTTTTGGTCTTCTCTGTTTGCCCAGCACTCACTAGAGCAGTAATTCTCAGAATGAGATAGTTTTACCTCACAGGAAATGTTGGTCAACATCTAGAGATACTTTTGATTGTCATGATGGAAATGGGGGTGCTACTGGCATCTAGTGAGTAGAGATTAGGGATGGCATTAAAATCCCTACAATGCTCAAGAAAGCCTTCCACAAAGAATTACGTGGTCCAAAATGTCAGTAATGTTGCAGGTGAGACCCTGTACCTGATAGAGAACAGGGTATTTGGGAAGGCATTGATATCCGTAAGCCCTCCAGCTTTTCATGGTGTAGTTGGAGAAATAAGGTTAATATTACTGAATCTCTAAGGTCTATATAGTGTGATATGGTCCTAAGAGAAGTAAATATAACCTAGTAGATATAGTTAAATTTGGAAGAATGATTTTTGGCTAAGTCTTAAAAATATAGGCTTTTATTTATTTATTTTTTAACATTAGAGGCCATACTACATCCCACTTCAACACAAACATACACTGGAAACACTGCAGCCTCATGGGTTTTGATGTGTTTCCTTGTTATTTATGTTGATTTCTTTAATGTGAAAACTTAGGTTTCATTAAGCTGTTTTTTAAAACTAATTTTTTCGGCAATATTGGGATTTGAAGTCAGGGCCTTATGGTTGCTAGGCAGACACTCTACCACTTGAGCCACTCTGCCAGCAAGCTATTTGTTTTTTCACCAACCTGAGTAGTTACATTCAAAAGAACCTCACTTTAAACATGTACAAGTTGAATTTTGCAAACTTCTGTAGCACTTCATCTCCATCCACAGACTCGCCTGAGTCAGAAACCCAATAATCTTCTAACGGAACATCACTATGTCCTTTGATTCTTTGCTTGTAGACCCTTTCTGTCCACTCCTATTGCAAGACTACGTCAGGCTTATATGACATACCAGAATTATTGCAAAAGATTCATTAAAAGACTCACTTAGCAGAGTCTTGATTTTCATTTTACCTTGTTGGAATAGAGTCTAGTCCATGCTGTTGACACCTTTAGTTGGATCCCATCACTTATAGGTTAAGGTCTAAACTCCTTTGTGCTAATTGTACAGAGTAATTAATGATTTGCATTTCTTCTCCTATCAGCTTCATAACTGGCCCTCTCCTTCTCCAATTCTGCACCTTACTGAAATGCTCACTTTTCTCCACAGTACCAACTTTCTCAGGTCATATGCTCTGCATTGGTTGATTCCTGAAGTGCTTGTCTTTATTATTTGGCCAATGCCTGCTTATATTACCTGTTAAGCATCTTGGATCTTTCATGCAGAATTAAGTTTAGCCTCCCCTGTCTCCATTAACATTTTAAACATACATCATTATCACGTTGACCACACTGCATTGCAGTTGCATTTTGTTTTTATAGTTTGTTTATTTTGAAAGTAAGTTTTAAATAAGACAGCATTTTCCTCTCAGAGATGGCTCCTTTTTCTTTTTTTTGCTGGATACATAGTAAGCAAGTACTCCCATCCACCCCAAAAAACCATGTTGAATGAGTAAATGAATATTTCATATTACTTCTATAAAAAAGAATGCCTCTAACATTAATATTGTAAACTTTATTCCCTGTCTAATAGAAATTCAAGTCTTCCCATGAAACACTGAACTATGACGTAGTTACAGTAGAACATAATGACCTAGTACTCTTCAGACTACACTGGGAAAATGTTGACATGAATTTGATGCTAAGTGATAGAAAAGAGAAATATGAAAAAGAAAACAGAAAAACCAGCATTAATTCGGAGAGCAGCAATGAAGAAAATGAACACATGGATGTGAGGCTAAAACATTGCTTAGCCTATGTTCTGCATACCTCAGGGACTACAGGAACCCCAAAGATTGTCAGAGTGCCTCATGCATGCATACTACCAAATATCCAACATTTCCGGTAAGTTCTAAACTTTGAATCTTAGAACTTTTGTTTTAAGCCAGATATGGTGATGCATGCCTGGAAGCCAAGGCAGGAGGATTGTGAGTTCAAGGTCAGCCAAGACAACATAGTGAGACTATGTTAAATGTTTATTCCTATATGGATAGTCCTAAGTAATTGGGTCTGTGTTGTTTTAGCTGTTTCTGAATTTTAGCTCTCTGTAGATAAGGAATTTACATGTTGATCCAGGCCAGTCTCAGAACAAATGATACAGTTAGAAGCCTTCTCCCCTCCCTCACTCCCTTCTTTCCTTCCTTTCTTCCTTCATTCTGACTGAGGTTTGAATCCAGGTCTCCATGCTTGAAAAGCAGGCACTCTACCACTTGAGCCACACCTCCAGTCCATTTTGCTCTGTTATTTTGGACATGAGGTCTCACCAACTATTTGCCCAGACTGGCTTCAAATCTCAATCCTCCTGATCTCAGCCTCCCAAGTAACCAGAATTATAGGCTGAGCCACCAACACCCAACCACTTTTTAATTATTAATAAAAAAAAAAAAAAAGATTTTCCTAGTAGAGGTACCAGGAGAGAGATGGGAGAAAGATTTTCCTGTGTGAGTGTGTCAGGGCAGGATTGAGGAAAGAGTTGGAGGGCAGGAGCCTGTAATACTCAGCTGAAGTTTGAACTTAATCATTAGATGATGGGGGCTCATACATATTTTTGTCATTACAAGTTTTACACAATTTTAAATTTTTAAGCAGAATTAAAAAGTAAAAAGAATTATGCTAGCGGTATACCTCAATAGTAGAACACTTGCCTAATGTATACAAGGCAAGTAAAAAAGATCGAGTGAAATTAATTTTAATATATTTTAATTCAGCATAGATATAATATTTTAGTATAAAATAGATGAAAAACATCATTAGTGAGTTATTTTACTCTTTAAATACTAATTTTCTGGTTTATATTCTACACTTAAACATCTCAATGTGAACTAGCCACATTTTTATTGCTCAGTACATATTACTGCATTTGATAGTGCAAGCAGGTCAAGAAAGAGAGAATAGCTGCACAATATAGAGAAGGGTGACTGTTGTGATTCCAACTATGGACTTGTAAGTTCCCAGGTATGAGGACAGCTGACAGTGGGTAGAGATAAGTGAATAGGAGGTAACTAAAGTATTCTTTTCTACAAACTGGTTTAATGAGAAAGAAAGATGAAATTCCAGGAAGGGTGTAAGTTTTATAGGCTTAAGGTAGGGAATTGGTAGGGAAGATCTGTTCGAATAATGAAATAGTAGGCATACTGGCAAAGGAGTAAGTGCCTTGAGAAGGGAGGGCATGGCATTTAAAATAGTGGAATTCCTCTTCTTGAAAAGAGGCGTATTATTTTAATATGTTATTAAGTATGTAAGTATTTTATGTACTTTACAAAAATTATTTTCTGTTAGAGGAAACCATGAATTGTAATTATCATATGAAACAGAAGGCCAAGTCATACACTAAGAGTATGGAAGGTGACATGGGGACTGACTTTTAATCCTTACTTTTAGAAGGGATTAATAACACCATTTTTGGTTAAATCTAAAAGAAGAATACAATCTGGCAACATTCAGAAACTTGATCATCTTAGGATGATCTTTTTTAGGATCTGTGTTTTCGAGATATTACACGTATTTCTTATAACTGCTTTCTCTTTCCCTTAGGGTACTTTTTGACATCACACAAGAAGATGTTTTGTTTCTGGCTTCACCTCTGACCTTTGATCCTTCTGTTGTGGAAATATTCCTTGCTCTATCAAGTGGTGCCTCTCTGCTTATTGCACCAACTTCTGTCAAGGTGCTCCCATCAAAATTAGCTGCTGTTCTCTTTTCTCGTCACAGAGTGACAGTTTTACAGGTATATTTTAGAAGCAAATGAAATGTTTTGCCTTTCATTGGTCAATATTTATTCCAATATTCTTTACAGTAGATTAATAGTAACAATATAGCTAGATTATCAAGGTTTGTCACATATCTATTTTAAGATGGAAAAGATCAGTTAATTCTGCCCAGAAAATTATTTTACTGTGTATTTTGTGCAAATAGAATAACTTGACTTTGATTCAAATCTGTTTGGATATGCCATTGGAATGTCTTCCAACTTAAAACTTTGAGTGTATTATGTTTCCTACTAAAAACTTATATAAGTAAATTATGAGTTAGGAATTTAGATTTTTAATTTTTACAAAGTATTTGAAAAGTATATGGTACGCAAGTCTTAAGATATTGCATTATAAATGGTGAAAGAGACTGCAGAGAATTAAAATTATAGGCTCATTGTGGTATGTAGATGTCTTAGTTACATGTTTAACTGCTGTGATACTCAGGTTTTATCTATAAATGGAAATAATACCTACTTCATATAGTAGTAGGAATTAAATGAGATAGTATGACATGGTTCCTGGTATATATGTGTTTCTATCCATGAAGATTCCTATAACAAAATACCAAGAACTGGGTAGCTCATAAATAACAGAAATGTATTTCTCATAGTTCTGGGACCTGGGAAGCCCAGGATCAAGGCACTGGTAGATTTTTTGTCACGTAAGGGTGTGTTCACTAATTCATAGACCACTGTCTTTACTATGTCCTCTCATGATAGATAGGACAAAGGGTGTCTCTTGGCTTTGTTTTTTTTTTTTCCTCCTCAGTTTAACAGTTTTATTAAGGAATAGGTGCTATACAAAACACCAAATATATTTAAAGCATGGAATTTAATGAGTTTTAACATACATGTACAATCATGAAATCATCACCACAATCAAGATAATGGACATATCCATAATCTCCAGAAGGTTTCCCCTAATCCTTAATTTTTTTTGTTTCAAGTGTGGCAGAACATGAGATCTGTTGTCTTAATAATTTTAGTATAGTATTTGTAACTATGGACACAGTGTGTATGGCAGATCTCTAGAATGAATTAATCTTGAAAACAAACTTGAAAAGCTCTCACTCTCCACCTCCCCTTAGCAACTGCCAAACACCATTTTATTTCTGCTTTTATGAGTTTGACTATTTTACATACCTCATATAAGCAGAATTCTATAGTTTTTTGGGGCCTCATTTATAAGGGCACTAATCCCATCAATGAAAGGTCCCATTTCCTACTTTCATTGCCATTGGGATTAGCATTTCATTATGTCATGTTTTATCAAGTGCAATGAGACTCAGAGGAGTATTAAATTTTTGCGTGGCTCAAGTGGTAGATTACCTGCCTGGCAAGTGTGAGACCGTGAATTCAAACCATAGCAATGCAAATAAATAAATACATACGTAAGTAAGTAAATAAATAAATTTCTGCTCCAAAGACAGTATTTGACATTGGAGGCATGGCTCTAGTAGTAGAGCACAGGACTTGAGTTCAAACCCCAGCACTGCCAAAAAAAAAAAAAAACAACAACAACAAAATTTGATTTTTTGGCTCTTTTTAAGGCAGTGTTTTCATTCTAAAAATAGGATCAAGTTCAGTTTATCTCAGGAAATTATGCTTGATTTAACATGTAAAAATCTATTGATATACATTACATAAAGAACAATGGACCTAAGGAATATATCTGTCTTAATAGATACAGAAAAAGTATTTAGCAAGATTTAACACCCATTTATGATTAAAAGGAAAAACTCTCAACAAACATTGAATATAAGGAAACTTCCTCAAAATAATAAAGGGCTTCTGTTTAAAACAACAATAACAAAAAAACTTCAGCTACCATCATACTTGATGAAACACTGAATGCTTTCCCCCAAGATTGAGAATAAGGCAGAACTGTTTGGTTTTGCTTCTTCTCTTTTCCACTGTTGTGGTGCTTCTAGCCAGTGCAGTAGGGAGTTGGGTGGGAAGGTAAGAGAGAGTGACTGAAAGATACCTGTATTGGCCAGAAGGAAATAAAACTCTTTACATGCTGATGACATGATACTGTACATAAAGAAATCCTGGATAAGTAGTATCAGGGAGAGGAAGGAGGACTTCTAGAACTAATAAACACATTTAGCAAATGTGGAGGATATGAACTTAATATTAAAAATCAATTACATGTGTGAATATATTATATATTCACACAGATATTAAAAGACTTGTCCAATGAAAACTATAAAACGTTGTTAGTAGAAATTAAAACCTAAATAAATAAGCATTCATATTTATGGTTTGGAAGTTTCAATATTGTCAAGATTGCATTCCTTAAATTGAAATTAAATTAAGTATAGTCAGTTGCTAACAAAATCCCAAAAGATATTTCTGTAGAAATTGACAAGTCAACTTAGACACTGCTTTTTTCTTTTCTTTTTTTTTTTTTTGCAGTACTGGGGTTTGAACTCAGACCTTACACCTTGAGCCACTACACCAGCCCTTTTAGGTGAAAGTGTTTTTTTGAGATAGGGTTTCCTGAACTGTTTTGCCTGGGCTGGCTTCAAACTGTGATCCTCCGGAGTAGCCAGGATTACAGGCATGAGCCACTAGTGCCCAGCAGAAACTGCTTTTTCTAACAGCACTGACTCTTCACCTGAGCCTGCAATTTTCCAGAGGTTAACTAAAAACAGGATAATAGCCCAATATTCTGGGCCTATTTTACATGTTACACCTTTTGATTGCCTTGGATTCTAGGACTACTTACCTGATGGATAAGTATCCTATGAGAAAAGTAAAACTATTTCCCAAGCAACAATGACTTTCTTATCTCTACAAAGCCTCCATCTCACTAATCCTGAGATAATCATCAATGTATAAAACCTTTGGCCAGCACTGTTTAATTATGCATACCTCTTGTCCTCCTGCCTCATTTCTTCCTCCATTTAAACTGAAAGCTCATGTCCTTATCCCAAAGGATGGGCTGAAATGCTTACTCTTACCTCTTCCTGTGTATGGGAAGTGTGAAACTCTCCTTTCTCTGCTCTTCACCACTACTGGTCTCTTTAATTGATGTGTTGGGGTAAGTGGGCAGACCTTACATGTTGGAACCTCTGAAGTTCTGGAGTTAGACATCTATCCTAGGACTTCCATTATAATTTTAGATTTTATATGGAAAAGCTAGAACCAGTCCCAGTTCACACAATGATATACTACTTAGCAAAAAAAAAGGAAGGGAACTGTTGATATCCTCATGAGCATAGATGAATTGTAAAATATTTATATTGGGTGAAAGATAACAGTTCAAAACACAAGTACGTATTATCACATTTATATAAAACTCTACAGTTGAGTGAAAGACACCAAGTCAAAACAAGAGTACATATTATTCCATTTATATAAAATTCTAGGGTGAGGAGTGATTAAAATGGTTAAGTGTCTGCCTAACCAAGCAGGTTTTCCATTCAAACGCCAATACTACCACCTAACAAAAAATGGTTCTAGAAATTGTCAACTAATCAGTAGTGTCAGAAAGTAGATCAGCAGTTATCTGGAGAAGGACTCTAGTTGGAGGGAAGAATTACAATGCCACATAGGTAATTTTAGGGTGATGTATATTGTCACGGTCTGAATGTGTCCCCTCCAAATTTACATATTGAAATCTCATCCCATTTTGTTGGTATTAAGATTAGGCCTATAGGAGGTAACGAGGCTATATGGGTGGAGTCCTCATGAATGGGAATTAGTGCCCTTGTAAAAACGCCTGAGGGAGCTTGTTTGTTCCTGCTACCTTGGGAGGACATAGCAAAAAGGCATAGTCTAGTCTGTAAAGCAGACAAAACCATCACTAGACTCTAAAACTACCTGCACCCTGTTCTCTTAGACTTCTCAGCCTCCAGAATTGTGAGAAAAAAATTCTATTTATAAAAGAACCCAGTGCATGGTATTTTTGTTTAGCAGCCTGATGTATGACAGGTATTTGGATTATGATGATAGTTTCAGTGGTATATACATATATCAAAATCTATATGAAATTATATACATAATAGTTTATTATGTCAGTTATACCCTATTAAAGCTGTTGTTACAAATATTAATACGGTTTTGCTTAGGCACATTTTTTAATCCTTTTATATACTTTTTATGTGTAGAGCTTATGGAAAAAAGTAATGTAAATTGATTTTATAGATTTTTGTCCTTTTTAGCTTTATATCTTTTCTTGTAATCTATAGGACTGGGGATATAGCTTTGATTGGAAAAAAGTAATATAAATTGATTTTATAGATTTTTGTCCTTTTTAGCTTTATATCTTTTCTTGTAAGCTGTAGGACTGGGGATACAGCTTTGTGGTAGAACACTTGCCAAGCATACATAAGGCTCTGAGTTCAATCCCCACAGCCACACAAAGAAAAAAGATTATACAATGAAACACAACTAATATGTTTGCCTAAGTTTTTTTTTCTAAAGCATATCCTTACCTACATTAAAAAGGTAATGTTTGCTCAGTTTCCCAAATATGCCATTTGATAAACACAGCCTGTATTTTCATATGGCCTTTAATTATAAAGTTTTGAATTAATTATTACAGTATTTACCTTTTTTAAGAAGTAAGGGGAAAGAAATAATTGTTTAAATATATTTACAGGCAACACCAACATTGCTTAGAAGATTTGGATCTCAGCTTATCAAGTCAACTGTTTTATCAGCCAGTACTTCTCTTCGAGTGTTAGCTCTTGGTGGGGAGCCATTTCCATCATTGACTATTTTCAAAAGCTGGAGAGGGGAAGGCAATAAGACACAAATATTTAATATTTATGGCATCACAGAGGTGTCAAGTTGGGCCACCTTTTACAGGATTCCAGAGGAAAGTTTTAATTCTACTTCAAAATGTGAATTGCCTGTACAACTGGGATTTCCACTACTTGGAACACTAGTTGAAGTCAGAGATACAAATGGTCTCACAATTCAAGAAGGCAACGGCCAGGTATTTTTAGGTGGGAAGAACAGAGTGTGTTTTCTTGATGATGAAATGACAGTACCTCTTGGCACAATGCGAGCCACAGGAGACTTTGTGACTGTGAAGGATGGAGAGATATTTTTCTTGGGACGAAAGGACAGTCAGATCAAACGTCATGGCAAACGTCTTAACATTGAACTTGTGCAACAGGTAGTACTATTAAATATTTATTAATATATATAGGCATTAGAGGCAGCTTCCACCAGTTTTCTATACCAGATTCTCTACCAGTGTACTTACACCTAAGATAGTTGAATCAGTAATGAATTACAATAAAAGATGTAGAGGGGCCAAGTATGGTAGTTTATGCCTGTAATGCAAGCTACTTCTAGGAGTATAGATCCAGAGGACTGCAGTTGGAGGCCAGCCCTGGCAAAAAGTTAGGGACCATCTTAATCAGTAAAGCTGGGCATGGTGGCATGTGCCTGTTGTTACAGCTTTCAGGAAGTGTAAATAGGAGGATCATGGTCCCAAGTTTATTTGCTTTAGGAAGCATTATTTTTGAGAAATGTTTACAGACCATGTGTTCTAGTAAACAGTAGTAAATGATTTTGTAAATATCTCTGTATTCCAAAATTTAATTGTTTCTACCTATTGCAGGCATAACAAATTTGAGCATTTAGGAAGTTCATTTTCAACTGTCCTTATTAGCAAATGGATAATTGAAAATTTCTTATAGGTTGCTGAAGAACTTCAGCAAGTGGAATCTTGTGCAGTTACATGGTACAATCAGGAAAAATTAATTCTCTTCATAGTGTCCAAAGATGGCCTAGTAAAGGAGTACATCTTTAAAGAACTACAGAAACATCTTCCAAATCATGCCATCCCAGATGAACTAGTTTTGATTGATGCTCTACCATTTACATCTCATGGTAAAATAATTTAAAGCAGATCTTTTTAGTGCTAAATGATAGCAGTTATATTCATAGCTAGTTTGATGGCTTCATAAATACTATTATATATGATACTAGCTTTTATTATGGTAGACCCTCTGTTAAATGCTTTGTATAATTAACTCATTTTTATCTCCAGAATATCCTATAGTTAGGTGATATTATTCCCATTGACAGATGAAAATAAGACTTAAAGAGGTTAGGTAATCCCTCCCTCCCAGATCACTTTGCTGGTTAGTGATTTTTAGTCAGGGTTCTCTAGAGAAACAGAACTAATGTTAAGATGGATATATAAAAAGGAGATTTATTATGAGTAATTGGCTTATGCAGATATAGAGGCAGAGGAGCACCAAACTCTGCGTGTAAGTTGGAAACCCAAGAAATCTGGTTGTATGATTCAGTCTGAGTTTTAAAGCATGAGAACCAGGGGAACAATGGTGCAAATCCCAGAGGGCAGGACATGATAAGGTAGACTTCCCAATTCAGTGAGTCACAAAAAAGGATGAATTCCTTCTTTTACTGCCTTTTGTTCTGTTCAGGCACTCGAGGGATTGGATGATACCCAACCAATTTGGGAGTCCCATCTCCTTCCTGTTTTCTTTACTGAGTCTGTTGATTCATATGCCAATCTCATCCTGAAATAGCCTCATAGACATACCCAGAAACTGTTTAATCCTAATAATGGGTCACCCAGTGAGGTACTCAAGTTGACACATAAAATGAGCCACTACAGAGACAGGGTTGAAATTTGCCTAGTACTATTTGGGTTCAAAATATATACTCTAAATCACCATGTTATATTGCCTTCTCAGATTCGTTTTTATTTAATATATACTTCAAAGTGTAGTATTTTGCTCAGTTAACAATGTTTGTTTTAGACAAGCATTATCTCCTTTCATCTGTAATTCACTATATTCTTTGTAGCATTGGACTATACAGAAGTGATTGTGTATGACAAACTAGTCTATGTAATTTCTAAGCTTTACAATAAAAACTAACTGTATGTGACTAATAAAAATATGTAAGGGATCTTAGTTCACAATTTGTTTTCATTGTTTATTTATGGTGCTAGGGATTAAAACCACGGCTTTGTGCATGCTAAGCACATGCTCTACCACTGAGCTGTCTCTCTATCCATGAGGTAAAAAAAATGGCAGTGTTGGAGGTTGAACTAAGGACTTCACACAGCAGACACTCTGCCACTTGAACCACTCTGCCAGTCCTATGAAATGAAATTTTAAATGTTTATTTAAAGCATTTGTTATTTCTGTTTTATATTAAGGCAAAATTGATGTTTCTGAGTTAAACAAGATTTACTTAAACTACCTAAACTCAAAGGCTGAGATTAAACTCCATGGAAAAGAAGATCTTTGGGAAAAATTACAGTATTTGTGGAAGGTATAACTTTTAAAATACACTTTTTTTAATTTATAAAGAGTTCATTTTAAGGAATGAACCTATCCTATTAAGTCTGGTCAATTTCCTAAGAAAGCTACTGCTGCCCAGATGTCAGGTAGTACAGCTTCATTTATTCAGTTTACATCAAAATAAAGGTTAGATTCTGTAAGATTAAGATCTCCACAAAGAAATTTATTGGGAGTGAGGAAGTCAAAAAAGGCACAAGTGGACGAAGCTTGTCTTTGCGTAACTTTTCCGTGAGAGGCAGTAAGTACCACAACACTGTTCAGAGCTGAGGAAACAGCCAAGTTATGCTGCAGCACTATCTGCTACCTGTTACACTTACGGTCCTCTCATTAGTCCACAGAAACTTGCAGCAGCTGCCTGTGTATTTCTGCTTAAGGGGATTTTGAAAACTATCTCAATAAGTCAACAGTTTTTCTTAGATAAATTAATAGATTTTTTTAAAGGATTCTGAAAAAAGGGTGTAATTGTTTAGTTTTGTCTAAAAATAGAGGATGTTTAGCCTAAAAATAGAGGATGTTTAGCTAAGTCTAATCCACTTCATTTTTAGATTATTGTAAAGTCATTTGGATTTATATGAAGTAGATGATGATAAATATTATTCCTGTATTATAGAAATATCAGCTACTGGTATCTTGAGATCTTTATAATTCGTAAAACAGATGTCTTTGTAACATTTTCCTTATTTTATGGTAGGAAAGGGAAGTATATTTAGCAGTTACAGAGTTTTGTGGCAAAATTGGTAACATAGTGACGATCTTCTTATTTAAATTTTAAATTTAATAAGTATTTTTGTATTTTTATGTTTCTGTCTTTCATGTCAATACTGTTATCTCTATATATAACTTGTACGTGATCAAGTCTTTTGGTTTGGGGCTTTTACTTCACCATTTTTTCCTTCTCTCCATAGTCTATTCTGAGTCTCTCAGAAGATACTTTGAAGGTTCCTGATGAGTCACTCTTCTCAAATAGTGGTGGAGATTCCTTCAAGTCTGTACGGCTCCTCAATGAGATTGAAAGTCTTGTTGGTACCTCAGTACCTGGGCTTCTGGAAATTATTCTCAGCAGTTCCATTGTAGAGATTTATAATCACATTCTTCAAACAGTGTTTGTGGATGAAGACCTGACATTCAGCAAGAGGTATGCCACAAAAAGGAAACTCAGCAACATGAGTCAAGAGGAAGCAACTGGAAAATCTTCACATCAGAAGTCTAGCTTGCCTTTAAATTATGACAGTGAGACAACTGCTTTTATTGCACTGAGCCGAGGGAGTCAGATTCTGTCTCTGAATACTGATAGGTTTTTAACTAAGTTAGAACATTGCCTTCCAGCCTATTCTTCTGATTTAGTTTCACAGACTAATATTCAAAAGTTGAATAGCTTAAATTCTCCTGCTCTTATTGGGAAGTCAAAAGATCTGTCCTGTGTTGCAAAAGTTTCTGAAGAGGAAAAACCTGTGATAGAGGCTGAGAAGATGGAATTTCGTGTGAGGTGGAAGTCAGACACAGGCAAATGTGTAGATGCTTCCCCTTTGGTTGTAATACCAGCTGTCAATAAGTCATCTATCACTGTGTACATTGGTTCCCATTCTCATAGAATGAAGGCAATTGACCTTTATTCTGGGAAAGTGAAATGGGAACAGATTTTGGGAGATCGAATTGAATCCTCAGCGTGTTTGTCAAAGTGTGGAAACTTTATTGTAGTGGGTAAGTTTCTGAATTTGAGGTTTGTGGAGTTAAATTGAATTATCATATAATAATGCTGGTAGGACCAATTAAAAAAAAACCGCAAACACACACTTATGTATGGTGGTTTTGGTTGCTGACAAAGAATAATAGTTAACTCTGTTCTGATTAACAGTATTGGCCTTGGGATCAGAGTCCCTGGAATTGAACCTAACTCTCTAGTTGTTACAAGGTCTGTGGCCTTTGGCAAGTTGTTGAATTTCTTAGAACCTCAGTTTTCTCATGGATACAACAGGAATAATAATAAAACATGCTGCTGTATCATACTTTACCCTAAAACAATGACCTATGGCAACAAACATTATCTCAGTTTCTGTGAATCCTGACCCATTCATAAGCAGCTTACTGGTGGTCAGGATCTCATGTTTCTGTAGCTATCTGAAGACTTACTTGGGCTGAAAAATCTGCTTCTAGGATGGCTCATTCATCTTACTGTTAGCAGAAAACGTCAGTTCTTTGGTAGTTCTTGACAGGAAATTTCAGTTTTTGCCACATAAGCCTTGGTAGACTGTGTAAGTGTCGACACAACATGGCAGCTAACTTCGCTCAGAGTGGGAGATTGAGTGAATGACTTCGTCTCTAAAATTGCATGTCATGATTTTTGCTTTATTTTTTTCTTTAGAACTGTATAGTTAAGTCCAACCCACATGGTGGAGAGTTAGACTCCATCTTTTGAAGACTTTCTTAGGATTTTGTAGGCATATTTTAAAACCAGTACCATCACTTGCTGCTCAGCCTTTTGGCTAAGATCAAGTATGGTATCTGTTCTTACCAGTTTAAAACCATCACAGTTGTAATAGAGCTTTTGAGAGGATTATGTAAGATAATTATTTAGGAGGCAGTTAGTGCATTGCCAGGCACAAGTGAAGTGCTTAGTTAAGTGTTAGCTACTAGCTGTAGCTCAGTTTCATTGAGGTACAGGTGACTTACTTTACTAGGAATATGAAGGTCTGAAGTACAATGTCTCCCTCTGACTACCACTCTGTTTACTCCCCAAAACTACATTAGGTTTCATTAGGCTCATGGAATCTGTCAAAGCTTTTCAGACTAAGTGCTTAGGAACATATTTCCCTGCTTTTGCTATCCTTGCTGTGATCTGCTTGAAACTGATTTTTGTCTTTTTGCTTGATGATTTTTTTAGACAAAGTCTCAGCTCAGACTGGCCTGGAACTTGCTATGTACCCAAGGCTGAACTTAAACTTGAAATCTTTCTGCCTCCCTAGTACTTGAATCTGATTTTGATTCTTCCCTTTTAAACACCTGCATTTTGAAAATTATACTAGGGAAACTTTCATTTATACATGCGAATATACATTGTAGAGTAATTCCCATCCATAGTCAGTTCATTGAGAATCCTATTTGTATCTTGAGCAAAAATGGTGATGTGCAATTTAGAACCTAAGTCAGAAAAGGTAGTGAGTATTCCATTGTATGCATGTGTCACAGTTTGTTTAGACATTTGGGTTGTTTCTAGGCTTGGCCGTTATAAATAAGAACTGCTATGAACTTTTATGAATAGAGTTTTGTGTGAACATATTTAATTCCACTTGCAACATTACCTTAGGGAGAGAGGGTTCCAAGGTTGTGTAGTTAAGTGTAGGCTTAACTTTATAAGCAGTGGAGGAAAAAAGTAGAAAAATTGTTTTCCAGAGCAACTGAACTATTGTGCATTTCCACCATCATTATAGGAGAGGTTTAGTTGCTCCACATCCTAGCTACCACTTCATATTGTTAGTTTTAATTTTTTTTAAAAATTATTATTCAAATAATTGTGGAGTATATTTCGTTGTGGTTTTAATTGGCATTTCCCAGTGATTAATGGTATTTAGCAGCTTTTCATAAGTTTGTTTGCAGTCTTTACCTTCTGAAGTATCTGTTTAAATCTTTTCTGTATTTTCTTAGGTTTATTAATGAGTTTTGGAATTTTTAATGTATTCTAGATATGAGTCCTTTATCAGATATGTTTTAAACATATTTTTTCCCATTCCGTAATTTTTTTTTTAACATCGTGTCTTTTTGCTCTGTTTTGTTTTGAGACAGAGTCTCACTGTGTAGCCAGGTTGGCTTTGAACTCGTGATCATCCTGCCTCATTTTCCAGAATCCCAGCAGGGAGCTGGGATTACAGGGATCTGCCACCATGCCCTGCTAACATAGTAATTTTAAAGAGAAATACTTACGGGAGGGGGTGCTGGGGCTCAAGCTAGGAAGCACTCTACCACTGAGCTAACCCCAGCTGGTAAGGTTCTTAATTTTGATAAGTCCAATTTATCTTTTTTTTTTTTTAAGTATAGTTCACGCTTTCATGTCATACCTAATAAGTCTTTGCCTAACTCATATAAGGAGATTTTTCTTCTCTGTATCTTTTTGGAATTGTATACAGACAGCAAATAAGCTTATAAAATAAAAGAAATTTTTTTATTACCCTGCTGAATTCCTGAGGGCTTTGCTATGTAGGAATTTATAACTAACAGACTACCGCTGTCTTGCCACTAACTAGTCAATGCCAGGAAAAAAAACCCCAAAAACATGGCATTAAAAAGTAACTTGGAAATTCAGCCTCAGTGAGCAACAATAGCTATGGCCATGGCAAATGAAGTTGCCCTAAATTGCCGTTCTCAGATTCTTCTTCATCTGACTTACATGCATCCAGGGAATTTGAGTGATTTTCACTTTGTAGATTTTGACCTTGGCTACTTCCAAGTAGGTTATTCACTACACCAAAGTCAAGGACTCCTGCTGTATCTTCTCATCCATAGTGTAGTTATTAGGAACAAAGGCTCTAGATCTTGACTTTGTAGATCTGTGTCTTGGCTGTGCCACATACTAACTGTAACTTTGGCTTAGTAAGTTCATCAACCTGTTCCACTGTCTTCATCTGTAAAAATATAGATATAATTATGCTTGCTTCACTGTGAGGATTAAATTCATTAACAGATACAAGCTACTCAGAAAAACACCTGGCACATGGTCCATACTCAGTGACCATTGACTAATATTGTCAGCATTTCTTGAACACCTTCTATGCTCTGGCATCTATCCACTGTGTATTAATGTGAATGAACCCGTGTTCTGCATAACAGTTTGAGGCTCAGTGATGCTGGATAATTTGTCCAATGATGGCCATGAGAGATTTGAATCGTGGAATGTCAAAACCATTTATTATAGCATGCTTCATTGTTTTCTTGATAGTGAACTACTTGATAGTACTTTTAAAAATGAGAGGCTGCTGAATGTGGGGTGCATGCCTGTAGTTCCAGCACTCGGGAGGCTGGGGCAGGAGTATCACCCCACTCTGCCTGTTCTTTTATTTGAGTACTATTGACCGCCTTGCCTATAATCAGAAGCTCTGACCTTTCCTGGAATTAGGGACTTTTTTTATCTTTTTTTTTTTCCTCCATATCTCTATTTGAAACCATTTAGCAGTGGTCATTCCAATACTATCTTTGTAAAGGACTGCTACCCCATATCCTTTCTCACCTAGAGTTCCAGGTCAGCCTTGTCTACATACCAAACCCTATCTCCAGAAGCACAAAAAAGGGTGGAGGGAGGGCAGTAACCTCTAAATGTGTATTTTACACAAGTGACTACTGTTCAGTTTCTGCTTTAAATTGCCAAAATTTAAATCAGATGAGTGAATACCAGTTACATGGGTAAGTGAAAATAGAATTGTAGTCCAGGCTGCGGGAGCATAAATGTGAGACCTTATTCGAACAATTAACTTAAGCAAAAAAGGATTGGGTTGCCTGCCTGGAAAAGCAAAAGGCTCTGAGTCCAAACCCCAGTAGTACCAAGGAAAAAAAAAAATTCAAATGAGTGAACATGAGGTCATATAAGCATCAAATATAAATTATCATAACTTAGGCAAAAGAATCATTTTGTAGTGATATATCTAAATCTTATCTTTTATATTTTATTTCTCTATAGGCTGTTATGATGGGATTGCTTTATGTTCTGAAAAGTAACAGTGGAGAAAAATACTGGGTCTTTACCACTGAAGATGCTGTCAAAAGCTCACCAACTGTGGATCCAACTACAGGACTGGTTTTCGTTGGATCTCATGACCATCATGTGTATGCTTTAGATATTTATGTAAGGATTCACCACATCAGTCTTAAAAACATAAGCACAGAGGAGCAAGAAACTGTTAGATGCTGTTAAGTTTAGCATTTGGTCAGATAAAAAAAGGAGTTAATTAAGTCTTAGTATCTTCAGACATTTAATTTCTTTACCAAATTTTCAATAATTTAATTTTTGAAATATAAAAAACTTGGAATTATCTTTGCCACAGGAAAAAAATCACAAAGATACTAGTAAGATACTTTAAGATCTGATTTTATAAAAATATAAAAATTCACATACAGATTATAAAATTAAAACAAACAAACTGGGAAATTTGAAATAACTGTGAATGAGTCAAAACTCATTTATAAGTATAATTAAAGACCAAATAAAAGTACACTAGAAAAATGAAAAGACCTTAGGGCTGGTGATGGCTCTAGTGGTAGAATACTTGCCTGGCAAGTACAGGCCCTAAGTTCAAACCCTAGTACCACCACCAAGAAAAAAACAAAACAAACATGATGGCTAACCATGAGAAATATAAAGACCCAGATAGAAAAAAAAAAAAAATAGGGGTATAAACACATAAGACCCCAAAGGGCTGGCAGAGTGGCTTAAGCGGTAAGAGAGCCTGCCTAGCAAGCATGAAGCCCTGAGTTCAAACCCCAGTGCTGCCAAATAAATAAGTAAATAAAGTAAATTCCATGAGCTCGCCAACCTTTAAAAAAAAAAACCCAAAGAAGAAATGACTAGTAAGTGTATGCAAGTGTTTTGGACCTTTTAAGAATTAAAGGGATGAAAATTAGAAATTACCAGATAGAGAAACAAATATGATTAGATTAGGAAAAATGTTGGAATGGTAATATTAAGTGCTGATGAGAGTGGTAGGAAGTTGTAACTGGAAAGCCCTTTAAAGAAAGCAGTTCAAGTGTACATAACAATTTCAGATCCTTTGATCTAGTAAAATTCTTTTCTAGGATTCTGTCCTGGCAAAATAATCAGACATATAGACATATACATGCACCAAAATGTGTATTTCCAAGTTGTTTATAATACCAAGTGATTAGTTCCAAATAATCTTCAATGTTTAGATACATAATTTTATATTTATATGGAATAGTAAGGCATTAAAATTTTGTTTTTATAAAATGAGGAAAATATTATACAAAGGTGTATATTCAGACTAATTTTAATTAAGCTGTATACAGCTACACACACACACACCCACCAAAAAAAGCCCAAAAGGGAAAATGCTAAAATGTTAGCAGTGAATATCTCTGTCATCATTGTACTCACTTGATTCCATACAGTGGGCATATATTTTATACTAAAGTGAAAAACTGTATGTGGTTGTCCGTGTCTGTAATCCCAGCATTTGGGAGGCTAAAGCAGGAAGATCTTGAGTTTGAAGCCATCTTGAAATACATAGTGAAACTGTGTCTCAAGGGAAAAAAAAAAAAGCTCTGGATGTAGCTAAGTAATAGAGCCCCCTGCCCACAAGGGTGAAGCCCTGAATTCAAGCAAATACTGCCAAAAAGAAAACCCCCCAAAACCAAACCGTTAAAAACCGTTATTAACTAAGCAGACATAATATCATGGTACTGAAGTAGGATACATGGATTTATTAACTACAAGCAAAACCCAATTAATTTGAATTCTTAATTTGCAGAAAAAGAAGTGTGCTTGGAAGTTAAAATGTGAAGGAACTGTCTTTTCATCTCCTTGTTTGAACCTGATTCCACATCATCTATATTGTGCTACACTGGGAGGACTTTTACTGGCTGTTAATCCTGTAGGCATAAAATGTGTTGGTTCTATTACTTGTCTTTTTTTTTTGCTTTGTGTTTTGAAAGTTTTGAATAGTTTTTAGACATGTATAATCCACATATTACTAAACCAGAATTAACTTAAAATCATTGACATTGTTTGAAAAGATGAAAATACGAGTTCATATGTGTTTTTAACCTGTTATTTTTATAGACAGAATTTATATGTATTTTTACCTGTTTTTAAAATTTATGCAGAATTTTCTCAGTGATGTAAGTTCTTCTCCATTATAACAACAGACCTTGTTATTTTTGTCATTTATGTTACTGTTGTTGATTTGCTCCTTTTCTTCCAAGTTTGTATTGTAGCTCTCCCAAATAGCACTGATTAATTTCATAGATGTGCACATATGTGCTAGCTTCATTTGTAATGTCAGCCTATCACTATAGCTGTTTCTGATGTTCTACTCTATCTCTGGAAGATTTATGAGTTTGTTTTTAAAAAGGGCGAGGGATTGGTAAAATGAGTTTAAGTACTGTGAATTGTTTTTTTGCCCTTGACAGGCTACTGGGACCATAGTTTGGAAGCATTCCTGTGGAAAACCACTCTTCTCTTCCCCACGGTGTTGCCGACAGTATGTTTGTGTTGGCTGTGTTGATGGGAATTTACTCTGCTTTACTCACTTGGGAGAACAGGTTAAAAAAAACCAGAAGTTTTTTGTGTGTGTGTACGTGTGTGTGTGTATTTCTTTAAGGCATAGAAAGTTTGAAGTAAAATTTAAACATTAGTATTCAACTCAGGAGGTCGAGATTATTCCTATTTTAATTGTGAAGTCATGGGTTTCTTATTTTTTCAAGGATGATATAGTAGGTTTGAAAGATGTCTGCTCAGACATTGTTTTACTTCTTATGAGTTTGTACCCAGTTTTATCATAACTTCTGGAGAGATATAAAAGTTTAGACGCCCTTGCCTTTTAATGTGAAAACTAAAATCTGTTGTGCAACCAAAATTCCATTGTGTGAAAGTTCCATTCCTCTACTTCATGACTGAAAATGTAGGCTTCTTCTGGCCTCAATTAGCTATTTCTTTGGGACATAATTTCCACTTCTGCAAGTATCTACAAGCGACTGGCATTTATAGCACAACTATTGTATGCCTGATCTGAGAGAGTATTTTGTGCTTTTTTAGCATGTACTTGCGCCAATAGAAGTTAGCCCATTGATGTCTGGGCTTTATTCTGGATGCTTTTTATCTTACAGTCACTCTGTGTAGCCTCATTGTTAATTTTCTCATTTTGATAAGATCTTTTATTATATTCACTTAATATTTTTATTTTCAAAGTAGTTTTTATGTAGTTTATCTTTAGATTCCTGAGAAGTAAAGAAGAGGCACATGCACTCGTTTTGTTTCTGTACAGTCAGGGATAGAGTTGAGACTACAAATTATATTTTGTGAATATGCTATTTTTTGTTTTTTTCCGTTATGCTTCTGTGTCTGTGCATTTGTAAACACTACCTTTCCTTAGATGTATGTCTTCATTTGTATTAAACATTTTTGTACTTAGATGAATGAATTAGTTTTGCTTTTATTTCCCTTTTTAGGTTTGGCAGTTCTCTACCAGTGGACCAATCTTTTCATCACTGTGTACGTCAGCATCAGAACAGGAAATATTTTTCGGTTCCCATGATTGCTTTATCTACTGTTGTAACGTGAACGGTTGCCTCCAGTGGAAATTTGAAACGACTTCGAGGGTATATGCAACGCCGTTTGCTTTCCGTGACCATGCTCATAGCAGTGACGTATTGCTGGCAGCAGCATCTACTGACGGAAAACTCTGGGTCTTGGACTGTCAGAGTGGACATCTGAAATGTGTATATGAACTTCCTGGAGAAGTTTTCTCTTCTCCTGTGGTCTGGGAATCAATGCTCATTATTGGGTGCAGAAATAATTATATTTATTGCCTGGATTTATTGGGTGAAAACCAAAAATAATCAAAGACAGTCCTGATAAGTGTATTTGTGAGATATTTGAAGATATTTTACCAATTACAGAGCATGTGACTAGTTTTACATTAAAGATTATATTTTGGTTAGAAAATATGTATATTATTTTTTATTAGAGAATAACAATGCTTCCTATACGAGTAGCAAAAGCTTTTAAAAAGAGAAGACAGATCTCATCAGTATCTTTAGTAGCACTTTTGTTTTAATTTAGCTAAGGGATGCTGCTATGGTTTGAATATCCCCTCCAAAACTCATGTTGAAATTTAATCCACATTGTGAGGAATTAAGAGGGCGGAAACTTAGCCTGACTGTTGTGTGTGGAAGTGGGACCTTTGGTAGGTCATTAAGATTAAATGAAATCACAAGTGATATGTGGCTTTATGAGAGGTGGAGGAAAGACCACAGCTAGGATGTTCTGCCTTGCCATGTGATGCCCTGCACTGCCTTGAGACTCTGCAGAGTTCCCACCAACAAGAAGGCCATAACCAGATAAGATCACCTGATCGTGAACTTCTCAGCCTTTAGAACTGTGAGGTAAATAAACCTTTGTTCTCTATAAATTACTCAGACTGTGGTATTCAGTTATAGCAACAGAAAATGAACTAAGATGGGTGTCCAGATGGCCTCTGGGTGTGTATGTGAGGCTGTTTCTAAAAGAGATTAGTATTTGAGTTTGAATCAGTAGACTGAGTAAAGATCTGCCCTCACCAGTTGGTCACTGCTGGTGGGCATTATCTAATCTGATGAGGGCCTGAGAAAAACAGAAAGGCAGAGGAAGGTCAAATTCTGTTCTTGAGCTGAGTTTATTTTTTCCTGCCATTGGACATCAAGACTCCCGGTTTTCTGTCCTTCAGACTCTGGGCCTTGCACCACTAGCCAGTAACTCTTTCTGCTTCTCAGGCTTACAAATGACACCTTCCCTATTTCTGAGGCCTTGGACTTGTACAGAATTGAATTACACCACAGGCTTTCCAGTCTGAAAACATCAGATGGTGCAACTTCTCACTTCCATAATCAGATGAGTCAAATCCTGTAATCTTTTATAGACAGAAGAGAGCCCCCATTTGGTTACATATGATTAACTTACCAAATTAGGTTTCTTATGTGTGTGTGTGTGTGTGTGTGTGTGTGTGTGTTGCTGGGGAGTGAACCCAGGGCCTTGTGTATACTAGGCAAGCATTCTGTCACTGTGCTATATCCCCAGCTCCTTTAGTATTTTTAAGTGAGCAAAAGTACTAATGTAGAATAAAATCGGTATGCTGTACAGTTTCAGGATGACATATTGTGATTTTAAGCGTTCATTGTTCCAGCTATGTAGCCCAAGCCCTCTCATAATTCTTTACCAAAGTTGTTGAAGACACAGGTTCTGTCCTTAGGTTCTGAATGCTCCATTTGGGCTGGGGTGTGGCTAGATGGCAGCTGGCCCCAAGCTGCATTGTTCATGGGCTCTCAGTTGAAGCTGATGCTGGTACCTGAGCCACAATGTAAGGTGTAAGGATCATTTTGTCTCATCAGACCATTCATTTACAGTCTAGGATTGAGATAAACATTTGTCCCTGTTCATTATTTTTCTCCAAATACCTAGTAAAAAACAAAATACCATATAGAACACCTTGACATTTTTCTTGTCCACTAAAAGCTACAGAAATATGAGACTGCTTATAGCTGGTGATCAAAGTTAGTAAAAAGTTCAACTTAAAAAGGAAATTCCATCAACGCCAAAGATCTTGCTTGATATTTTTTATTGAAAGATCTTTTCCCTTCAATAATGGACATATTACATGAAAACTTTATACAACCAAATCTCAAATAATATTAGAATCACACTAAGGTATTTTCATTAAGTCTCTACTTAATTTTAATTGTTGGTAAAAATATTGCAAGACATTTGTAGCTAATGTTTCTGCTTTAAAATAAGCAAACTAAAGATCACAAGAAGAGACGAGTACATACTATATATTTGCAGATTACTGGCTAGAATTATAATTTAATAGTAATGTTTGTGTAAGAAACAATTGCACTTGAAAAATTAAAAAAGTAAACAAAAAAATTCTAGTTTTATATATAAGTCCATGAACAGAGGTTAATCATCTATAACCTTGCCGGGAGAAGTAGGATCATTTAAATTAAAAAAAAAAAAAAAAGCTTAACATAGTAATCATTCATTAAAAAAAAAAAATTTTGAACTTTTTATATGTTTTTACTGAATTTCCTCATAGTCTGTTGCTCAGAAAAGACCGCAACACAACTAAAGCAAAATAACACTTCATTGGTATTTAGTGCAAATTTGGGGTGATGTGTAAATGAAATGTTAACCATGTACCCTTTAGAAGTTGTTAGACGTAAGTACCGTGACTGCCCTTTCCTTAATAGACTCTTCTTTTAAAGACTTTGGTGGGACATTTTTAACTTGAGGCATTTCATCTACTTTGCATGGGCCCAGTGGTACTTGAGCTAGTACAAAGTTGACACATCTACCATTCTTTGTTAATGATCTTATTTCCTCACCTGTTCTCTGCCATTACTGTGATACTGTCCAAAGCTGATGAGATGAAAGAAAAAGTCAATTTGGAAGAATTACTATAGCACTATAATTCCAGGGCTCTGGTGGAAAGATGCCCATTAAAAAGTGTTACATCAGTGAGGAAATCATTGAACTAACAAATGCCTACACAGAAGATTTAGAAAGAACATCAGTTTGGAAAACGTGCAGCAGAATATTAATTGCTTCTAAGAGCAATAAAAAGGTTTACATTGATTCTTAACAGTCTGAAGATCCAGTGTATATATTAAATCCAGCTTGCAAGAGTACAACCATCCACTTGACCACACAAGCCAGCTGCTACAGTAAAGCTGACCATTGTTTCTAGGAAGAAAATGGTTTCCATATGGTAAACAGCTTTGCTGATATCCTTTAAGGTAAATGACAGAATAACAGCACATTGCATATTGAATAAGCATAAAGGAAAGTAATGATATTATAGGGTAGAAAAAAGGATGTAATTCTGAGCAAGGACTTCACACCTATATTTTGGAATAAGAATCTAAGAAAAGAGAAATATTCCAACACCGTGAAATACAAAGTTAGTGCCATCAATATGTGTGTGTGTGTGTGTATGTGTACATGTGTGTAGAGGGAGGGTTGCTGGTATGTCTATGTTTCAGGTAAAGCAAATCTAGGGAAATAAAAGTAAACATGGTATTGAAACTGCTAAGTCCCTTATTTGTGTGCATAAGTGTATGATAATAACAAGGCCACTAAAACTCTGAGATGCTTTGTGAAGGTAGCAAGGTGAGTGGTCTAAATGGTATGGAACACTCAACTCTCAGTATGAATTACACAATTATAGAGAAAATACCTTCTGCAGGAAGTCTTTAGAATAAGGCTCCAAATCTTGGCTTTCCATTAATTTCCCCTAAGACCAAAGGGAATTTTCAGAGACATGTAAAACAATAGCCTGTCACATCTTACAATAAAGGGCTGGTTTGGGTGGTGGTTTTATTATTTTTTTCCTGTCTCACTTTTGCTGCTTTGGGTGACCGAGCCTCCCCTTTAGAGACTGAGAAATTGGACTGCACTAGAATCAGTATATTCCAAAGTTACTGAACCTCTGAGACAGATCAGAATTCATCTGAAGAGTTTTTGCTAGCAAATATATTCTCAGCTCTGCCTTCCCAGGATCTGGGAGGGGGCCTGGCTGCAACTTGGACATCTATAAAAAGAACCACCCACTAGATGGAGATTCTGAGACAGAAAGAGAAACTTGCAGCTCAGATACAGAATTTCCTTTTTACCATATGATGTGAAAATGTTCCCCAGAAGCCAACTAGGCCAAATGTCTCATGTGGTATAAGGAGGACCGTGGATTCACAGCATGGTAGGGTGAATTGATCTGCCCTCTGTGTTACAGCTTTGGGTGGGGAAATTCATGAAAACCAAACATGGAACAGGGTTGGGAGCCAGACTTTTTCTTGTGATCCTTAGTTATCACATTCAGGAGAATGGACATTGTTTTGTCTACATATGAGCCTTTCACCATTACGGTAAACCGAGTAGACATTACCCAAACATGGCAGAGTAAGTATTTTGGACAGAAGAAATTAAGAGTAGAGAATCAAAACAACATTACAAAGATTGGCAAAAGTATGTGTTCTGAATGGTGTGTGGGTGTGCATGTGGAAGGGCCATGGAACAGGCATGGTGGGCTCTCCTGAGGAGCATGTGAAGTTTGGAGATTTTGCTTCATGTGGTCCCTTGGACAGAACTGTCTCTTGAGAATTAGGGGGAGCTCAAGGCACCAGGACCCAAGGTTGTGCAAATACACTCTTTACAATGAACACCACCAGTTCAGTTTCTAAACATTATTTTAGAGCCTATAAAACATGCTTCTTTTCCCTAGCTTGGTTTCTTTACTGCATATAAAAAATAAATAAATAAAAAGGGCAAGAGAGGAGCCAGTAACTGGCAATAGGAATGAACAAGAATCACTCTTTACTTAATAATCTGTGGACAGTCGCTCCAAGCCTTTGCTTTTCTTTTGGCCAAAGCCAGCCAGGCTGGTTCTGTGGATACAGGGGCAGCATCTGGGCTGGAGAACCTCTTGGAGACTTCTTTCACCAGTGGCGCTTGGGGAACTGAATCTGAAATCTCCACTGGATCCGTTGTGAAGGAAAAGGAGAAAGAAGTAAGAATCACATTTTTTAAAGTTTTTTTTTTCAGTGAATAGAACTGCATGAACTTATTGTGTACAGAGTACTTGGAAATATCTATGCTGGCAAATTTTAGCTAAATCTGTGTATTACCTTACAAAGTTAGCATGTGGTGCTGAGAACATTTAAAATCCACTCTCTTAGCATTTTTGGAATATAGCCACCATGTTACACAGCTTACCTACTGAAATTTTGTATTCTTTAACCAACATCACCCTACCCCCACACTCCAGAACCATATTTTGATTTATCAGAAGTATGAGATTCAAGTCAAGGGTGGCCCTCATCTGTAATTCCAGCATTTGGAAGGCTAAGGCAGGAGGATCATGAGTTCAAAGGCAACCTGAGCTACACAGCAAGACCCGGTCTCCAAAAAAATTTTATAAATAAATAAAAGGAGAGTCAGAAAGAGAATTCAGTGAAACAAGGTCAGCAAGTTCCTGGGACAGCTTCAGTGAGAAGATGTCGGGGAAGCAAGGTATGAGATATAACTGTTGCATACAGAATCACGGTGATCACGGTGTAGTCAATTCTAATTTCAGAGAACTTTTAGGAGCCAATCTTTCTGTACACAAAGGCTATGCCTGCACGTTAGCACGAACTGAATGCAAATGTTGTGATTCTAGTCATACAATCAGTCAGTTCCATAAAGAAAAAGACTAAGCTGGTACTTTAGATCCATCAAGCTAGTGAGATTAATCGCTTTCTCTACTTGAGCCTCATAGATCCTGCTAGTCCTCATGACCTGCATTCTTATCTTATTCCTTGGCCTCACAATTTTCTATCCTACAGCTCACAGGTTTCTGTGAGAGGGTTCTGTGAGAAGGTCAGAGGGCTCACATTTTTTTTTTTCTTTAGGCAGTTACGGGGTTTGGACTCAGGGCTTTATCTCTCTACCTTTGGAGCCATACCTCCAGCCCCTTTTGCTCTGGTTATTTTGGAAATAGAGATTCACTTTTTGCCCTGGCTGACCTGAACCACAATTTTACATTTCCTCCCATAGTTCAGATGACAAGTATATACCACCATGCCCTGCTTTTTCCAGTTAAGATGGGGTCTCATGAAGATTTTTTGAAGTTTTTTTTGCCTGGGCTGACTCTGAACCATGATCCTCCATATCTTAGCTTCCCAAGTAGCGCTACTTGGGATAACAGGTACATACCATCATATCCAGCTATTGGTTGAGATGGGGTTTGGGGAAGTTTTTACCCAGGCTGATCTCAAACCTTGATCCTCCCAATCTCAGTCTTGCAGGTAACTAGGAAATTACAGGCATGAGCCATCAGTGCCTGGCTTGCATCTTCTCTTTGGGTCACATATTTAGTGCCTGTGGCCATGGTCTACACATATACTTCTAGAATTTGGGAAACACTGACTGGAGGAAAATTACTTCAGAACCACAGCTTGCTTTATTAAGGTGGAATTCTTTTGAATTACAATAACCTCTTCATACTTCCAATCACGCAGAGAAAGAGATGACCTCCTAGACTTTGGAGCTTTCACTTTATTTTGAAAGAATATATCTCTCATTCAAACATTTGGAACTCTTAATTCCTATGTAAGGTCAAATTAAACAATGCCTACAAAGGTTCTAAAGAGTTCACCACCCCCCTTCTCTCTTCTGCATGCATTCAAATTGCCTGTCCACTTTCCACCATAAGCTGAGGTAGCATCAAGGCCCTCATGAAATGTAGCTGCCCAATCTTGGACTTCCTAGCCTTCTGATTTGTGAGCTAAAATAAAACCCCTATCTTTATAAATCACAAGGTCTCAGGTATTCTGTTACAGCAGCAGAAATGGACTAAAACATATGCCCTCTGGAGAAGGATGCTGCCAGGTGGGAAAATAGATATCCCATTGACCCCTGTGATGGGTTTGATCAGATTTACCCATCTTTCATGTGGTTCATATTAAGGAAATAGCTGGAAATTATGGGACCACTTTATTTTTATAACAGAACAAAGAATTTTAAAAAATGGGTATGTGTCATATGTGCTATAAACATAAAAACTGCTATTGTTAATTAAAATCGAGGACACAGTACTAAGAAACCTTATTCTGCAAAGTCACAGACTATCAGAAACTTGTTTGGTATCCCATCAGTGAGAATGGGCCTTCACACTTTGCCCCGAGCGTCTGAACCCCATGGGTCACTAGGGCACGGAGAAGCAGCTCCTGTTTCCAACACAGATGCAGTGCTCCAGGCAGAGGGTGTCAGAGATAACATTGTATAGATAACTCCACTCTGTAGCTTCAGAGAAAATGACCTGGAGTCTACACAGCCCAGCTTGCTGTCAACCCCTTTGTGTCCACCCCCCACTTTGCTATATGCCTACCAAAACAGGGGTTCATGTAACTCTTACCTAAACTCTACCCTTCCCCCACAAATCCTGCTATGCACTTTGTTTAGGGTTTTCTGGTTGATACTTTCTCTTGCTGCAGCAAGTTAATAACACTGACCTTGTCAGACTACAGACACTTGGGGATGGTTCATACTGTCTTGTTAAATGCTCATAAATTTAGCAAGCCAGTTGATACCATATTGGTAGCTCAAAGTGGCCACGGTGGAAGTAGTTACACCACAGAAAATGGCAAATGCTAAAAATCAGAGATCTCCCAGCTCCCCAAAGGGCTGAGTGCTAAGAGCTGCTTTCCTGTGACACCACTGATAGTGGGGAAGTTCCTGGTGGTCTTTACATGGACATTCTCAGTGTGGAAGTTTATGGATGGAGTTATGAGCTCTGTGATGTCTAGGATGCTGAGCTAGTTACCGCACTGTAGGACACAAGCATAAGTTAAGTAGAATTGGACCTGTTCTCTACCTGTCACAGATGTGGGAAGAGTGTTGGCTTTTTTGAGCTGTTCTCTGCGCTGGAGTCTGGACACTGCAGTCTCAGGCTTCTTCTCTTCTGGTTGAGCAGTGGACTTGTGCAGGGGACCTGCTCTGCTGACACTGCTACTTCCAGGCTGTGGGCTGACACTGACCTGGGTGGGCAGAGACAGGGAAAGCATGTTTTCAACCTATGACATGGAGAGGCTGACCCTGTCAGGCTTCAGGGATTCCACATGTCAGCCCTGACCTCTGCTCCCAAAGGAGGGGCTGAACTGCACTTTCGAGCCCGGCCTCCAATAAGGGAGCCGCTTAGTGCCCATGTGCCAAAGGGGGAAGCTACCTTTCCAGAACAACCCTCCTGCCCCCAAGCTGACTATAAAACCAGGCCACAGAGCAAGGCTCCTGATTTCCTCTCTGCTCACTGCCAAACAAACTCGTTTTCCCACTAGATACAGTCATCTCCTCCTTGTCTGAGATGGATGGATGCTAAGTCTCCAGTGGATGCCTGAAACCAAGGGTAGTACTGAAGCCTACATATGCTATCTTCATTCTTACCTTAGCACCTTCAGCTTGGATGCCATTCTTTCTTTCTTCATTAAGTCAGGAAGTTTAATGTTTCCATGCAAAGGAAGCACTTTACAGCTTCTCTTAAGCATATCTGAATTACTGGCATCATCACTACTTTATGTTGGAGTAATTCTTAAGTAAAATAGGGGTTGCACTGTGGCACAGCAGAACTGATAACCAAGGTGGCTACCAAGTGACTAACGGTGGACAGTATAGATGCACTGACAAAGAAGGATGATCCCATTTCTGGGAGAGGGGGAGTGGGATGGTATGAGATTTCATCACACTATTTAAAACTTAAGAATTGCTATTTCTGGAATTTTCCACTTAATATTTTTAGATCGTGGCCGACCTTGGATAACTGAAATCATGGAAAGTGAGACCTCAGATGAGGGGCTGTTGTGACTGCTGTGTGTGCTCATTGTTGTAAAGATAGCGCAGATTCTATCAAATCAGGTTCACCTATGAGGATAATGAAACCAAATCAGATTTCATGCTGAAAACGCTTCCCTGATTTAAAAGTAGTCAACTTATTTACTGCTGTGCCTTTCTCCCATCACTCTCAGTAGCACCTTAAAAAAAAAAAAATCCTTGTGACCTATAAGAGAGCCAAGCTTAGGGTAGTAAAATTAAAGCTGAAAGCAAACTACTCACATTTTCTTTGGAGGATTTTTCTGCCTGTTCGGCTTCTCGGGCTTGCTTCCTCTCCTCCCGAGTTGCTTGCTGCTCACGAAACCCCTTTTGCTTTTGCAGTGCTAATGTTATCCACAGTGGCTGGGCAGTTTCAACTCTCTCCGTAAGTCTGCAGCCATCTAATGAGTGTCTGCTCTGAAGCACAGGCTTCTCTGTGGAGAAAAGACAAAAGAGATTTGCTGTGACATTAACTGCTGACTTAGCTCCTCAACTCCTAAAACTTGTGACCAATCAATAAGCCTACGAGATCCATGCTGATGCCCAAGGGACTTCATGGGGTAGGAGGTAACAACTCTGATCTATAGAAAAACAGTGGCATAATCTGTTCCTTTGAAAAGGAAGGAGTTACTTTATAAGAAAATAAAGTATGCAGTGTCCTAAAATGTCATGCTTCTAGACAGCTACACAGTTCATTATTATTCTGCTTTTAATTCACTGCTTTAATGAGATTTATTTTTAGTGATGAATGCTTTGTTCCCAAACATGGAACCCCAATGTTTGAAAGACAAAGAAGAGGTGCTGCTCTGCCTAATGGGGCAGCAGAGGTCAGCAAGGCTCTGAGAATCACAGTGAGGAACCTGTGACTGTGATCCAAGTCCGCATTTGATGGGCGCACTAGGGTCCATAGTGAACAAGACTGTGCCCAAGGCCCATCAGCAGGCAGCACAGGCAGGAGCTGTGACCTCAGTTCTCTGACTTCCCGTCTCTGCAACTGGGGTAAGCACCCAAAAGGTGACATCAGAGTGAGTATTGGGCTTTGAAATTGAGTAGAACTGGCTTTGACCTTATGTGAACTTCGAACAGCTACTTATAACCTTTCTAATCTTTAGTTTTCTAATCTGTAAAATGGAGATAATGCTACACACTTTATCAGGTTAGTATGAAAATTAAGAGAGGCCAGGCACAGTGGTGCATCACAGTGATACCGCTCACATATCCACACAAGTGCTTCTCATTTCTCAAAAGTGGAGAAGAGGCTCAGTGGCAGAGCATTTGCCTAGCATGTGAGAAGCCCTGGGTTCGATCCCCAGCACTGCCAAAAAAAGGGAGAAGAATAAAATTATTTCTTCTTTATAACTTCCAGGAGAACTGCAGAGACCAGAAGTCTTTTCCAGCCAAAGAAAAACGCACAGCAGAGACAAGATGTGGCTACTGGCAAAACTGGTATGAGGAATGTCCCCTGACGACGCTTTGGCTTAGCTGGGATATAGTGACCAAAAAGGGACCCAGATAATTAAAAAGGCTCTCTTAGAATGCCATGTGAAAATCATATTCACTTTATAACTTGCTCATTCCACCTCAGGGTGAGGCCAGTGCCTGAAACGTATCAACTATCACGGCAGAGCTCACTCTGGGGTCACAGAAGTTGACTGCCATCATTTTGTCAAGCTAGTGGACAAATTCCAGCCACCTCCACATGAAGCATCAAAGACAGCGAGGTCACCCACAAGAAAGAGCAACATTCAGGAGCTTTGACACCAGACGAACATTCGCACTCTATGGTGGCAGAATTCAAACTCACACATGCTTATATTTTGCCATATTTCCTAAAAATAACTTTTTGGCAGTACTGGAGTTTGAACTCAAGGGCTTAAGCTTGCTAGGCAGGCATTCTACCACAGCCCCCCACCCCCGTCTTATTTCCTAAAAACAAACAAAAATTAAAGACAAATGTTTTTTATGGAACAAGGGAAGACACCTCTAGCCACCTTTTGATTCCCTTAGAACTGTGGTTTGAATACAGTAGCCTGTAGTTATAGACTAGACTTTAAAAGAGGCACAGGCAGGAGGTGAGGGGTCATGTGGTCTCTGTTTGATCAACAGTCTCCTCAGCCAGGAGTCAGGATATTGGAGAGAGGCCAGGATTCAGTCATCAGAATCCTCCAGCCAGTAGGAGGTAAAGCTGAGAGTCCTGGGGCCTGGCCTTCAGGGAAGAAGGAGCAGAGTTGGGGCAGTCTGGAGTCTCCTGGCTCCAGTCAGGATGACAGAGGTTGTTTGCAAGGACTGTCTGGGGGAGAAAGTTAAGTTCCAGACCAATGACACCACTGGGGACCTTGAGAAAGTGACTGGGGGCTAGGGGTGAGGCTCAGGTGACAGAGTGCTTACTTCCCAAGCACAAGGCCCTCAGGCCAAATGCCTAGTACCACCAAAATAATAAACAAACAAACAAATAAATAAATAGAAAAGGAAAAGATAAATTGATCACTGCCAAAACTAGCACTCACAAGAACAAGATCGTTCTTAAGAAATCTCAGATTGTTCTTAAGGACCACATGTCTCTGGGGGACTGTGAAATTCATGATGGGATGATCTTGAGGTTTTATTACCAATAGAACAGAATTGCTTCTTGAATCCCTACACTCCTCTCCCACCCTCACCTTCTCCACTGGAATGGATGCTTTTAAAAACACATTAATAAAAACTTAGCTGCTGAAAAACAAAAAGAGGCACTGACACAGTAAGTGTAAGGTCTGAAAGGTCTGTCTCACAGGTGGGACCATAAACAAGACGTTACAATGAGATTCCTGTGCAAGTCTCAGCTGAGGATGCCCCAAAGGCCTGTAACACAATATGCACTGGCACACATTCCCACAAAGTGTGTGGTCACCTACTAGGGACAGGCCAATAAAACGGCTCCATGGTCACCACCAGGGCATGGAAAAATTAGGGTGGAAGCTGAAGAAGCCAAAAGTAGAGAATTTCCTTGGAAAAAGAGTTTTTGGAGCATGGCAGATTCCCATGACCTCTCTCCTCCCGGAGGAAAGAGGACAAAGCCAAGAGAGAAGGTCCTTGCAAAGACCAATCAAACGGCCTGTGTCCACCAGCCTCTGTGGTGCACAGGCTTACGGATTCTATTCACACCATGACAAGTTCAAAGGTAAGGACTATGGCTGCCAAGGGCTTGCTAGAAGAAGAGCAGGTGTTAGGAAGACACTTGCCTCCCAGTTTGTTGGAGCAAAGGAGGTATAAATGCTGTGTAGGTCCAGAGTGGCTTATAAAGGAGAGAGAGGACCTGAAGAGGGGGCAGGGCCCTGGGTGCCCAGAGGATGTGTCAGTGACAGTAAGGGAACTGCAGATAAGGAGAAAGAGCCTGGGTAGGGGGGAGAGCAGGCAAGGAGAACCCAGAGTACCCCACAGAAGCATCAGCACCAAGCATCTGCCAAGCACCGGCAGTTGCAAAATGTTCCCCCTCTCTCTCTGCCTTTCCTCCAACCCCTGAGCCAGTTTCTGGTCTGGGAGGAAGGGAAGCAATTGGACAAGCCTGCATCCCCATAGTGGGCACCTCAGCACAAAGCTGGCCAAACTGGAGAAGGGAGGTACTTAATTAGAAGTTCTGGTCACTACATGGGAGGGGACACATTAATTACTAACACTAGACTACTGGTACTGAAAGTGACTTGAAGACTTGTTACAATCCCAAAGTGTCTGAAAATCTGTAAAGAACTCCATTTATTTATTTATTTTATTTATTGGTGGTACTGGGGTTTGAACTCAGGGTTGGCAAGCACTCTACCTTTTGAGTCTCAACCTCCCCCAACCCTATAAAGAACTCCTATAAGTCAACAACAAGAAAATGTAAAAATGTACAGGTGCTGGTGGCTCACATCTGTAATCCTATTTAGTTAGGAGGCAAAGATCAGGAGGACCATGGTTTGAGGCCAGCCCAGGAAAATAGTTCCCAAGACCCTATCCTGATAATATCCAATACAAAAAAGGGGTCTTGAGTAAGGGGGCTCAAGCAGTAAGACCACCTGCCTAGCAAGCATGAGGCCCTGAGTTCAAACCCTAGTACTGCCAAAAAAAAGAAAATGAAAAGAAAAGAAAATGTGAAAATGTTTGTGAAGACATACAGAATTTATAAATGCTAGGTGAGAATTTTTGCAACAGGTTTAGGATAACAGGGAGGAAAGAACTCATCCCCAAGCTGGTGTCACCAGTGGGAAGCTAGTAAGTCAGATATTGTAAAATGGAGCCAAGACTATCTACTTGTACATGCACTGTGAGTATGGAAGGCACCAGCGTAAATAAAAGCACTTTGTAAATGAAGTGCAAAGAATGACTGCTGTTGAAAACAACCAAATACAGTAAAATCCCTTCCTTCAGTCAAGGTTTTGCAATGCAGAGAGGTTCTCCGGCAATCACATAACCTTTTTTTTCAGTGGGGGAGCTCAAAATTCCTAATTTAAATTTTTGTTGCAATTTAAAACTATTCTCTCTTACTTTAAACTCAATGGACAAGAGAACCACAGCCCACTTGGGTCCCTTCAAATTCTAGAGAGATGAGCACAGGGTTCCAGTCACTACTCCCAAAGGTTATTGTCGGAGAAAGGGGTACTTAATTGTCCATCTGTTCTATGCACCGTAAGTAGGTGAAAGTTTCAGAATGAGGTGACAACAGCAATGAAAGTACGTATGGTATGAACATATAAGAATTGTCACTGCTGTTTCAAGTCCAGCCTGGTGGGTTCAGAGTCAGCACAGCGGCTTGGCCTCTGTATTGGTCCTCTCTGGCCTCAGTCTCCAAAATGCAGACTCTTTGTAAAGCAGTGGTCTTCAATAAAAGGTGTGTCACCCTACAGCATGTGCAAGACAATTCAGTGAGGTGGAGGGAGAAAAGATTACAATTTCTATTTAGCTATTTTTTAAACCTAAAAAAAACGCTTTTCTGACAGTACCCAGGCTGGTACTGACACCTTCACTCAGAGTACATGGTTGAGGGCCACAGGTTTACAGAATATCCTGAGGGAAGCTGGGGGACGGGGGGGCTACCCCGTGAAGAAGTGCAGTGGGTTGGGAGGACTGGCAGCCTTGTTCTCACTTTTAGCACATTGGGAGGTTCTGCAGTTAGGTGAGTGCACGGGATCTCCTCTCTCCTCCTAACTAAATGATCCCTTACAGATGGACACGAAGAAACTCCATGGATTCCACTTACTATTGATGCTGTAAGCATCAGGAAATAGCAGACACTACAAGCTCTGCCACTTTGTGAAGAGATTGGATCTAACAGGAAGTTGGCTGTGATTTGCAAAGCAGATGAACCTCATTCCAAGTGTAGATGATGTCCCATGGATATTAGCTAATGCCAGCACAACGTGTGTACAACCTACCAACAAATTGGAGGTCTGTGCTTGCCGTTTTTATCCTGATGTAGAATTCAAACAAATTTGGTCAGCCCTGGCCTAGAGCAGCAAGTCAATAGCAAAATCCCAGCAATTGGAGACAGCAACCAAAGCAGGTGCTCTTTTGTTTTCTTTGTGCATCCACACAAATTCTGACAGCCCCAAGTTTCAATAGTAAGTAAGGAAACAGGGGCAATAACAATCTGGGGAGAAAAATATCATAATCAAAGGGGTATCTCAAAGAGAGGGAAGGAAGCAGGAGCTTTATTTATTTGAGGAGAGAGGCCAGAGACAGAACTGACGAGGCTGTGAGAGGACTTTGCAGATACCATGAAAGCTAACAACACTAAAGCTGATGTCAAAACTAAAAAATGGGCTCCTCATCTAGCAGGACAAACAGAAGTCATTAGGGAGAAAGAGTCCATAGGCTGCTAGTCAACGTGTCCACATAGGACAAGCTAGGCAAAAGGGCCATTGAGAAAAGACATGAGGGTCTTCGAGAAAGGCAAGGAACCGAACCAAACCAACACTTCTCAAGAAACAACTCTTCTCTGCAAAAAGCATCACAAACCTAAACATTTCAACAAAAAGCTGGGCACCAGTGGTGCACACCTGCAATCCTAGCAACTTGGGAGGCTAAGATCAGGAGGATCAAGGTTCAAAGCCAGCCTGGGAGAGACCATCTCTAAAATAACCAGAGAAAAAATGGACTGGAGGTATGGCTCAAATGGGAGAGTCCCTGCCCTGAGTTCAAGCCCTAGTCACACTGAGAGAGAGAGAGAGAGAGAGAGAGAGAGAGAGAGAGAGAGAGAGAGAGAGAGAGAATCCCTCCCTAAAAGCCTCAAGAGAGAATCTCTCTGAGAGATATCACCTCCTCTTTCTGCAAAGTTGAAAAAGGAAAGTATTAGATGAGGTTCTCAGGGCCCACAAGAGACAATCCAAATGTCCATTTAGATGCCCCAGATGTGTGGTCTAAAGACACATCAGACAGCCAGAGGTGAGGTGGGGAGGTTGTGTGCGCTGCACTTGCAGATCCATTTACATGAACTTGAGTCAACGCCAGTTATCCACAGAGCAGATCCACAGATGGGACGGAGGGAAGCCCCTAACCTCCCTACTTCTCCAATGACTGCCCAGACACAAGGCAGACCCTGGTCTAGGAAACTCCAGTTTTTATAGTCTCTGCATAGGCCCTTCAAAATGATTAATGACATCTTTATTAATTAGGACTATATTTCAATTCAGAGAATTCATAGAAGGTGAAGGGCCTCACTGTGACTGTAAGGTGCTTAGGTCTCTGATTATCAAGAGTGCTCCCAGTGCTAGCAGCCTTGGCTGACTCCAGCTCTGGTGGCTCCAGCAGTGACTGTGCTGGACAGAGGCAGAGGCTGCTGTCTTGCAGCTAGCTTACCTACCTTTCCTCCCAGCCTCAGGTGTTTGGGACAGTTTCTCTTGCTGACTGGCAGGCAAAGGTGGGGAAGCAGGTTTCCTCTCTGACACCTCCTCCTCATCTCTCTTCTGTCCCTTCCTCTCCTCTGGGGGTGGCGGTGAGGGTGGCTGGGGACCACTACTGTCTGGGCCCTCCTTGGAAGGCTCGCTGGGCTCAAGGTCCGGCTTCCCAGCTCTCCGAGCCAGCAGCTCTACCAAGTAGGGCCTGCTGAGTCTAGAGAGGGGGGATGATGGTGGGGTCTGCCCGGCGGGTTTGGGGGCCAGGGCTGGCTTCTGCATCGGTGGCATTTTGCTTGCTGCCTTGTCGTGCTCTGGAGCTGGGGCCGGACTGCTGGCGGGTGGCTGGGCTCCAGGAGGAGGCGGAGGAGGGTGGCCGCTGGCAGGACTTTCTGTAGAGTCCCTCCGGGGGGCCGGGGCTGGCTTCCTCTCCTGTGGGCCGTGCTTGAGCGCCCCGCCCTGGGTCTCCTTCTCTCCCTGGGCGCTGCCCACGGCGGGTGGCGCCCCCTCCACGCTGTCCCCGGTGCTGCTGTGCCTCTTCTTCTTCTTCTGTTCGGCCTGTTGATCGCAGTGGAAGCGCAAGGAGTAGTTGGTCCTTCTCAGTTTTATTCCAAAAGGCGAGACCTTTTCCTCACCAGCAGGCACCACAGCGTCCGCTTTTGCCATGCCGCTTGTGGTCTCGCTGTTGTCACAAGTGGCCGTGGGCTCTGCGTGGGCTCTCTGCGGAGGGGAAGGAAGGCTGGGGACAAGGAAAGATGGGAGGTCTTTGGCAAATTTGCACCCGTCCGTGGTGTCGGCTGACTCGTGGCGCCCGTCAGGCTTCTCGGGGCTCCTGGGGAATGCTCGTGGGGACACGGGGACAGGCAGGGATGCTGCGTCTTCGTCGGACCCCGGACCGGGCCTTTTCCTAATGCTTTCGGCTTCCGCGTTCTGCTTGGAGGCCTCGGTGCCACCGTCGGAGAACTTCTGCCAGGCAGGCATGATGGAGAACTTGGCATTGCCCGGCGGGGTCCTGCGCAGGTGTCCGCGGGAATCGCAGCGGCCCCGGGGACCCGGCTCCTCTCCGGGCCTGGCTGGCTCTCGGTCGCCCTCGGTGTTCTTTAGGATTCGGGACCGAATGGAGGCCCACTCGGCCAGTGCGGCCGCGCTGCTCGATGACTCCGGGGGAGGCCTGGCCTTCCCGCCCACCGCCCGGGATGGCTGCTCGGGCGCGGGGACCTCCACGTGCCGCTTCTCTTCCGACAGGCCCAGGAGGGACTTGCACGCCGTGTCCTTGATCTGGCTCAGGTTGACAGCCGGGCCGCACAGCTGCGCGCCCGTCACCAGAATGGCCGTGTGCGGGATGCTCAAGGCGGAGGCCAGGTGCGGGACCGCGCCGCCGCGGGGGACAGGGGCCTCCTGAGTCACGGGGCCGATGCCCGCGTCCTTGGCGGGGGTCACGGGGCTCAGGTTGACTTTGGGGAAGAGAATCTGCCTCCCTCCCGAAGACACCTGGAATGTGTAGGGCCTGGACATGGTCTGTCGCTCGTCCACCTCCTGCCACCTGAGTTCCTCCACCTTTCTGTCTTTTTCCAGAGCCGAGGCTCGGGTCCTTTCCATCGGAGGCTTCGTGTCCTCCATCTGTCCCTCCTGCTTCTGGGGAGGCTCAACCTCGGCCTCTTCCCTCCTTCCCTTGACCTCGCCATCATCCCCTGGGGACTCTGCCCTTTGCCCGGCCTCCTGGCTCTGTCCCTTGGCGTCTACTCTTCGCCTTTTGAGTTCTTCTGGCTTCTCCTCCAAGTCACTGTGCAGGGCGTTCCGCAGGCCCCTGCGGTCCTCTGGCTGCGGTGGCCTCTCCTCCTGTCTCCCTGGCGCCTTCGCTGCCTCCATGTCCTCCTGCTTCCTCTGCTCCTCCATTTTCCTGGTCTCCTCTTCCTGCTGCTGCTGCCGCTTCAGCTCCTCTTGCCGCTCTGCTTCCTCCTGCTCCTCCCTCTGCCTCAGCTCCTTTAGCCTCCTGGCCTCCTCCTCCTGCAGCCTCCTGGCCTCCTCCTCCTCCAACCTCCTGGCCTCCTCTAGCCTCCTGGCCTCTTCCTCTTCCAGCTTCCTGGCTTCTTCCAGCTTCCTGGCTTCCTCCTCCTCCTGCCGCTGCACCTCCAGAGCCTGGAGCCTCCTGGCTTCCTTCAACTCCATTTCTTCCTGCCATTGCCTCTCCGCCTCACGCTGTCTCTCAGCCTCCAGTTGCTCGGCCTCTTCCTGTAGACGCCTCAGCTCTTGGGCCTCCAGCAGCGCAAGGTCCTCCCATTCCCTCTGCTCTTGCTCTCGGTAACCGTGCTCTTCCGTGCCCCTCTTCGTCCCTCTTTCTGCCTCCAGCAGCAGGTCCTCCTCCCTGGCCTCCTCCTCCAGGAGCTCCTGCCGTAGGTTCTCTTCCCACAGCCTTCTTTCTAGCGCCTGCAGCCTCTGCTCTTCGAGGCGTTTCTTCTCGGCTGCTTCCGCCTTTTGCCGTTTGCACTTGGCCTCAAGTTCTCGCCAGTAGTCTTCTTGGAGTCTTTTCTCTTCGTCGGGTCCCAGGGGCTCTGGTTCCTCTTCAGGCCAGATGGGCTTGTCTTCCCCAGGGTGTCCGTTCTGGTCCAGGGACGGCTGACTCTCAAGGCTGCCTGGCTCATTTTGCCAATCCTACCGTGAGGAAGGGAAACAGATTAAGTTTTTTACTTTTTCCCATAGACAACCCTTACTTTTTGTATTTGCAGGTGTCTCTCTTGACCTCAAAAGAAGGCACAGGTGTTCCTGAGTACAGACACAGCAGTCCCCCTTAATTTAAGTTTCACTTTCCAGTTTCAGTTACCCAAGGCAACCAAATATTGTTTCCTGAATCAAACAATTCCTATGCACCTTAATTATACTGTTAGAATTGTTCTATTTTATTAGCTATTAATCTCTTTCTGTGCCTAAGTTATAAATTGAACCTGATCATGATCATAAGTATGTATGTATAAGAAAAAAAAATAGTATATATAAGGTATCCACTAGAGGGCTTGGACTGCATTCCTTGTAGGTAAGGGGGCTGAGAGGTACACTCAGGCCTCCTCACAGGAGCAAGAGTAAATTGTGAAAAAGGGGAAAAGAACTTCTTTATGTTTTGTTCTCTTACCCCTTTGTCATTCCCAAATTCTTTTTTCTTATTGTTATGCATTAACAGTAAAACTAATAGCCCAGCCCAAGAGATCTGGACTTTATCAATGTCCCCTGAAGCTTATGACTTAGGAGTCCACACTAATTAGTCGGAAGGCCCTTTGGCTATCCACAGCAGAGGAGAGCTGGCGTGTTTTCCTGCTGCCGTGCAAACACAGGTCACCTGGAGGGAGCTTCTCCATGAACGGCCCCCACCCTCTGATGTCAGAAAGGACGAAGGAAAGTGAACAGCTCTGCTGATCCTCACACACAGCTGACCACTCAAGTTCCCCACCATAAGAGACCTAGATCCTTCTATGGGTCCACCCCATAGAAGCACTTGGCAGAATTAGTGTCGAGCTGGCAAGGCTAGACACTAGATGACTAGGCTGGTCATCTAGGCGCTACTCACCTGGGCAAGCCGCCTGTGCTTCCTTGACACCCTCTGGTTTTTTGGCTTAACGGCCAGTTTGTGCTTGGCAGCACTGTTGTCCAGGCGAGCGATGGCCAGGGGGATGGCATCAAGGTTGACACTTTCAATAGTGCCAGCAGAAGAGAAGTGCCTTTTTGGCCGAGATGGTTTAACTGGAGCAACCTACGGTGCAGATTAAGATAAAGACAGTTTGGAACAGAAAATGATCTTAGGGACTCCCAGAATGGTAACACTCATGGAGTCTGCAGATGCTCAGCCTGGTCCAGGAATGCTAGGAAGCAGAAGTGGAACAGCCCTGGTTTGGGAATAAAAAAGACAGGATGCTGCTGGGTGTGGGGGTTTCATGCCTAAATCCCAGATAGTCAGGAGGCAGAGGTAGGAAGATCTCGGCCCAAGTCTTGCTGTAGGAAAAGTGTGAGACCCTATCTGAAAAATAAAGCAAAAAGGGCTAGGGTGTGGCTCAAGTGGTAGAGTGCTTGTGAGCTCAAGGCCCTGAGTTCAATCCCCAGTACTGGGGTTGAGGGGGAGAGACAACAACACCACGGACAGGGATGGGGTCAGGATGCTAACTGCTTGTATTCACTATAAAGTGAATTTAACCTTTCCAGGACTAAGTTTCCAACTCTGAATGATTCGGGTTAGATTAATTCAGGGGGCCAAAGCCTGCTGTAGCCTGTTTTGGTACACAGTTTTGCTGGTCCACAGCCATGCCCAGATCTTGGCCGTTTTATATGCCACAAAGGAAGAGTAGCACAAAGGAGAGTCGTGTAGTTGAAACCTCAGGATCACAAGGCCTAAAATAATCAATAGTTTGCTGAGCTCAGGCTTACACCACCTCTCTGCCAAGAGCTGTTTACCTCTCAGACTGTGTATGTGCTCAGCTCCTACACAGGCCTTAATTCCTCATGGGCAGGGAAGGTGTCTTTTTCATCTTTGCATCAGTTCCTTTTAAGTCCGAGCAACAAATCTCATTTGGTAAGTGCTCAATAAATAATCATTGGAGGACAATAAAGTATAATCTCTATGAGTAGGACATGGAATTTATAATCAGCAGAAATGTTTTGGGCCCAGCATGCTGGTACACACCTATAATCTCAGTACTCAATCCTCCTGCTGAAGCAGGAGGATCACGAATTCAAAGCCTGCCTGGGCTACTGGGCTAGTGAGACCCTGACTCTGAAAAAAGAAAGAAGGGAGGAAGAGAAAGGAAGAAGAGAGAGCGGAGGAGAGGGGAGGGGAGGGAAGGAAGAAAAGAAGGAATGTTTTGGCACAATCTCTCCAAAGTACTGAGTGTACCAAAATCTAAAAGAAAAAGGGTCTTGGTGAAAATACGAGTGGCAATAATGTGCCCCAGGGACAGGTGCCATTCCTCAAAAGATGAGCTTGGGAACAACGTGCAGGTCTGGAATGCGGATGCAATTATTAAAGACTACAGCCTCAGACTAACCACACACATTTAGAAAGGTCAGAGTGACCACAGCACAGCCTAAATCAGAGGCCAGGTTGAATCAGAGGCCAGGTTGAATCAGGTGACAGGAAGCCACACCTGTGAGCACAGAGAATTTAGACAATCTCTCCTGGCCTCAACTTGCCGACGGGCCGCAGGTACATAGCCCTGTGCAGCAGGTACACAGCTCTGTCTCCCCGAGCCAGCAGCTCGCACACATAGGGGCAGTGCTAGATGGGGCCAGGCTAGGTGTTTGACTGTGTTCGTGCTGTAAGTGTAGAGTCAGTGAGATTTAGCCATATTTATGCGCAAAAGATGAAAAACCAAGCAAAATAGATGCTTAGTAATATGAATTTATGACAAGAAGCACAGAAGAATATTTCTAGCCTTCAGCCTTCCAGCTTTCACTTATTTATGGTTACTGTTATAATAGGTGTCAGATTCTGAGCTATTGTTGAGAATATATGAATTAAAGATTTCTTTCCATTCCCTAAAAGATGCAAGAGGAAAGGGAGTCAGAGCCAATATAACAGACTGGAGGCAGAGAGAAGTACTTGAAGCCGAGATTTAAGTGCCAAGCTTTGTTTCTAGTTGTCCTAATTAGGCTTCATCACTTCTAGGAGGTGGCACAGTCTTAAGCCATCCCCTCCGTGGGGTGCAGAGCTGCTCACTGTCCCCTCTGCCACACCTTAGGAGGAGGCCTGTCCCTGTGCAGGTGAGCAGTCCTCATTGCAGTGGGTCAGCTCCTGTGGGAGGGGCACTTAAGGAGAAGGATGAGACTCCCGAGGCTGCAGGTGCAGCCCACACAGAAACATTAAAAAGGGCACAGAAGCATTAAAAACTGTATGTGTAAAAGCAGAGGAAGATTAAGATTGGGGCTTTTGTTTGTTTCTTGTATCTCTAAATACAAGAGGGACCCTAGACTTACAGACTTGGGTACTTCAGGTATGCTTTTCAATGGATTTAACAGTGTCTTGAAGCATGTAACACATTTAGGGACACTACCAACTTGTAAGACCCCAAGGCTAGCTGGGAAGTGTTGTTATTTTTTTAGAGCAAGGTTAAATTCCAGCAGTTGTGTTGCCAGGGAAATGGATGCTTCAACCTGTACCATTGATTACAGATTGAAGGAATTTAAAGTAACGTGACGGCAACGTTTGTGAACAGAAAATTAGGCAGCAGATTGAAAAAAAAAAAACCAGGAAAAATGGAACTTAAAGTAAGCGGCATGGCTTGAGTGGTAGTGCGTTTGCCTATCAAGCATGGAGCCCTGAGTTCAATCCCCAATATTGCCCAAAACAAACAAATAAAGTAAGGAAGAAAGGAAGGAAGCTAAATAAATAAATTCAAACCCTGTTACCTTCTCCTCCATGTCACTTCCAGCTCCGGGTAGATTCAAAGGACTCGGAGAACTTGGCGTATCACTGGACTGGAAGAGTAGAGAAAGTGCTCAAGTCAAAAGCAAGAAGAGAAAGTTCTGAGCCTGGGCAGGCCCACCCCCTCCTCCACAGGAGTGCAGCAGGCCTGCAAAGGCCAGCAGGAGTCACTGGGGGGCTCTGTTGACAAGAACTTCCAGAGGCCCAGAGGGGACACAATCGTCTTCCCACCAGGGTGGTGCCCTAGGTTGTCTCCAAGGCATCAGAGTAGCTGAGGGACTGCTCAAGGGGAAATGAGGCTGTGTCACTCACAGCCCCAACCCCTGAGTTTCTGGCCTTTCTGGCTGCCTTTTGCCCTTTCACCTGCCAGGCCTCTCCCCTCCAAGCTATGAGTGAAAAGAAGCCACATGCAAAGGGCTGGGCTGAGAATGGAAAGACCAGGGAGGGGCCCAAAACACACGATGGAGGAAGAGATAGGCTGAAGATTCACACCCCAGTGTCCTGTGAACACCCCAACAGGTCACTAGCATACTTGGATGGTCTGCTATACTCGCTATCTTGCATTGCCATTTTCACAAAAGGGTCTTCTCTTCCCTTCCAGAGTAAATCAAGCCAGCTTCCCCTGTCTCAGTCCACTCCATGCACACACTTAGAAAGTTGTTAGAAAGAAAGAATGAATCAGATTACGACACTTCCCTAATTAAAAGTACTCAGAGGCTTCCAACTGCCTTCAAAATAGAATTCACCCTTTTCCCATGGTCTACACCATCTGGCTTTGGCACCTGCTCTCCCCCAACCTCCATCCAGCCACACTGGCCAGCTTCCTGGTCCTCTTTCTGGATGAGCTCAATCCCATCTGGGCCTTTGTTCTGGCTTACCCTCTGCTGAGAACATTCCTCCCCCTGTCATTCCTAGGTCTGCTTTCAACCCCACATTTAGAGCTATGACCCCACCAAGTCACTCACTTTTGCACTGCCCCGTTTTGTTTTCTGTGCAGCCAACATTTTTCTCTTTCTGAAAGACTTGCCTCTCAGGACACAAACTACCTGGAGGTGGCCCTTTGGCAAATCTGGCTTATCTCTGTAACACCCACGTCTAAGACAAGGTCTGCTGAGCAAAGAGCCTCCCTCTTCCTCAGGCCATGGCACCTTACACTTAGGAGATCCTAAGTAACAGCAAAGACCTTGCTTCAGTCCTTACAAGATTCCTGCGTTGAGGTGATGGCTGATTCTGCTACCTGCACTGGAGAGGCTGGGGAGAGCACTTTTAAACCTGTTGGGATAGATGGGCCCCATTCCTGCTTTGCCCACCGCTCAAAAGTGGGTGTATGCCATGGGTCATCAGAGCCAGGTCCAGACTCTGGACCTCCCTCCCTCCCTTCCCTTCCTCACTTTCCTCTGCTTACATTTCTTACTATTCTTCTGACATATTAGTTAATAACAGATATAATTTCTTCTTTTTTTGGCAGTTCTGGGGTTTGAACTTGGCTTTGTGCTTGCTAGGCAAAACCCTCTACCACTTGAGACACATCTCCAGCCTTTTTTAGTTCTTTTTAGCTTTTTTTTTTTTTTTTTTTAGTTCCTTTGGCTGGGGATGGCCTCAGACAGCGATTCTCCTGCCTCTGCCTTGTAAGTAGCTGGGATTACAGGCATGAACCATTATGCCCAGTCAGGCATGATTTCTTCTGAGGCATGCCCATTTTAATACTACCTACCAAAATTTTAGGTACGTTGATAGGCAGAGTCAAGAAAATGCTTTTTCTTTGTCAAAAAAAATACTTGAAGCTTCTTTTCCTAGAGAATTCTTGACTCTAGCTACTGGTAGGACTCTTGTTTCTTCTTCCATAAGTGGTCTAAGGACATCCCTTCTGAGGCTAAAAGAACTCAATTCGGGATGTATTCAAAGTGTTTCCTGTAAAGTTTCAATAAACTATACTTAGGAAGGTGCTGGAATGTGACTTTCTTTCCACTTTGAGCTGGCCTATGCTCTCATGGAGCCCCTATTGTTTTCTTTTCTCATGCTTCCCTTGTCTAATTTGACAATTAATTTTTCAGTGCTACTAAGCTGTGTAAAACCCAGTTTGTCTGCAAAGAAATGAACATTTAGAAACTGGAAGAAAACAGTTACATGGACAGATACAGGTGGGGGTACGGATGTGCAGAAAGTGGTAAGGACACACAGCAAAGGCACAGAAGGGACAACACAGCTTGGGGCTGAGTCCAGGTAAGGCTTCCCAGAAGAGGCGGGCACAACCTAAGCCTGGAAGGCACTGGTAAAAGCATGTGCAAAGGGCCTGTTCCCGCCTCCCTGCCTCAGCACACTTGCCAAGGAAGTACCCTCCAGCCCTGGGCTGCGCTTCTCCAGCTAATCCACCCCACCCCCACTACAGACCACAGGCTTATCAGATGTCCCTGTCCACTGCCCCATATCCTTTCCCGGCTTATAAGCCATCAAGTCCTCCCTGGAGGAGTCTTACTTTGTTCTCAGCCTCTAAGAGGACAATGTCTTGCCGAGTCACAATTTCCATGGGACTGGTCAGGAACAGGTCCTCTTCTGAGCTGGCTTCTCCACTCCCTGCCTTCTTCATGGGAACGGCATTGGGTGGATGCTGCCCAAACTTGATATTCTTGCCCAACTGTCTCTGGGGAGAAACAGAGGAAAGACGTTTGTAAGCAATGAAGCAGTCCCAACTTCCATAACCAGGTTGCCCAGCATAGCGAGGAAGCACTGAGGCGGATGCAGGCACAGCTGCTCGGGACACGACCGCCATGCCAGGGACGCGATGCAGTCCTGCAGGGGGCGCCTTTGTTGTCCATCTTCAAGCCTCGAGTTTTTTCATCCAGCTGCCTCTTTCATGGAAATGTCACCATTTCCCAAGAGGCACGGAACCATATCACTTAACCAGAATTGGAATATGTTTTTGATTCGTCTATAAATTGAAAGTCTTTTAAAAGTACAAAAAAGTATATGGGAAAACAGTTACATGAAATGTAGGAACCACTGGGGGAAATTAAGACTTGGGTGGGTGCCACACGGGAACTCTCCAGCCCCCTCTGAACACATTCCCTGCAATCTCTATGCTCCCACCATCTTCCCACCTGCACCCAGCTAGCATCGAATACCAGAATCTGAAGCTGTAGTCACAGCAGGTCACGGCCAAGGTGAAGAAGATCCCAGGGTCAGCAATCAATCCCTGATCAATGCTGAAATCAACCACGGGATGGGAACGACCCAAATTTCTCTGCCCATTGCAGCTATACATCATGAAAGAGGGCACGGAAAGGACGAGGAGAAGAGGACCCATGAGGGTCTGATTATTGGGAGGTGGTAGCTAAAAAGACAGGCAGAAGGGAGGGAAGAACCCGGTAGAAATGGGAAGATAAATAGTGTTTGGTATTAAACACAGGCTGGATTAGAAAAGGAAAAATGTCTCCAGATGTTGCCTAGTGTCTCCTGGAGGGGGAAGGGAGATAAAACTGCTCCCAACTAAGAACCACTGCTCAAGATCTACGTACTTGATTTTGTAGGCCTAAAAAAGAAATTCATTCTCTGATTTTATCTTTCACCTGGCTAACATTTAATCCCATAAAACTTCAAAGAGTCTTAGCAAAAACCTACTCCAACCCCCTAACTTTGCAAAAAACAAAAGTCAGAGGTCCAGTGAGGAAAGGTGACTGGGCCAAGCTTATGGAAGGAATGAGTGGCCACAAAGCAATCTGAGCCCAGGTCTTCTAAAATCACATCCAGGGCTATTTTCATTGCACGTCACGGACTGTCATAAATTTGACATTGCACTTCCTTCTTGCAGGGGCAGTTATGTAAAGAGATGGTGCAGTATTTTTAATATGTCTCTGAAGTTCCCTGGTAGAAGAACCCTATGAGGGAAATTTCCCCTTTCCCTGAGAACTCAATGGTACCAAATTTATCCATGTTCACCCAGCTCCCACCAGCCTTGGCTGGTGAGCAGTGAGACTACAGACACATGACAGAGATGCCCCGTGCCCGAGAGCCCCCCCTGCCCCACATGCCAAATCAGGAGCACGGCTAGGCAAGGGCTTACACTGTGTCCCCTGGTTCTTCAGCCTGCGCCTGGCTCCTGGCCCCACAGGAAAGGAGCACACATCAAAAGCCCAAGTTCAGCCATGGAAGGACAGCTTCAGCAGCCCGAAAGGGTTGCGGGTTGCTGAAAAAGGGTGTCTTCCAGAAACAAGTCTAGCAGGAAGCGGCAGTTAGTATCTGTTCTAAGCAGGTCAGTAAGCAGGCACAGACAGAACAGCCAATGGAGTTAGACGAGAGCACATGGAGTCACAATGCCATAGGCCCATCTTGCTCTGCTGCCCAGGGGAGAGGGGAGAGAACCTGGGTAAGGGAGGTGGGGATGGTTCCTGTGACCTCCCAGCCCAGTCTTTCCTGGGAGTGTTGACCAAGACCTGGAAATTGTTCTAAATCTCTTTCTACTTACTGGGGAGACCTCCTGTTGGCAAGGTCTAAAGCTTGAATGTACTCCTGAATGAGCTAAGCGTCTCCTACCTTCCCCTCCCCCCACCTTGCTTCCTTCCTTCTTTCCTTCCTTCTTTCTTTCCTTCCTTTCCTCCCTCCCTCCTTCTGTCTTTCTCTTTTTTTTTGAGGCAGGGTCTCGCTATGTAGCCCAGGCTGGTCTGGAACTCACAATTCTACTTCAGTCTCTTAAGTGCTTGGATTGATGGACTGCATTGCGTCATTTTAATGCATGTATACACTGTGTAATGATCAAATCAGGGTGACCGGCATATCCATCACCTCAATGTGACTTATCACTTCTTCCCATTGAGAATATTTAAAGATCCCTTTTCTAGTAATTTTAATTTTATTGTTAACAGTAGCTACCTTCTGTGCTTCAGGAATCTAGAATTTATTCCTCCTCCTAACTGTAACGTTGTATCCATTGACCAACGTATTCCTTATATCTGTGACAGTATACCTTATATCTGTGATGTAAAAGACAATCTTTTAATGCACCTCCTGGCATAACACTCTTCTACCATTTAATTAGGATTTTTGCCAGCATGGCAAAAAGAATGGATTTGCTGACATTTTACTTCATTGTGCTCTTTTTAAAATGGCCCATCCTGATGCTTGTGAGACAAAGAATGTGGCAAAATGTAATCTCAGTCTATATTGAAATAAAGTCCAAAGATGGGAATGACTTTTGTGGCTACAAATGGAACTGGAAAGAGAATATGTAAAGAAAAATAATTAACGGAGCACAGACAAGAAGAGGAAGGTACATACAAAGAAGCTGGGAAATGGAGGGACGTGTGTTAAGAAATGCAGTAGAGCCGAAGAGGCAGATTGAGAGGGAGGTGCTTGTGAGACAGGGATTGCAGAGGGAAGAAGAGGGAAAAGACCCAGAGATACAACAGCTGGGGCCTGGGGGCCAGAAGGAGGAACAGCAGAAGGGGAAAGAGGAGGGAATAAGAGTGCGTGTGCATATGAAAGGTTGACTTATGTAAGATATGTTCATCCTGGCAAAAGAAACATAAAGACTCTGAGAATGAAATGTGCATCTTACTGCACAAGCTGACTTGGAATCCCCCAGAGAGAACAGAATCAGGCTGGTGGCTGGGGAGCTTAGGCAGAGAAACTGGGCAGGGGGGGAGTGGTGGCTGTGATTAGGAGTAGGGTTAGTCACTGTGTCCAGACAAAAGGTCTCACAGACACACCCAAGAGCTGTTAGGCAAGATTCTGTGGGACTTAGAGTCTAAGGCTATGGTAATTTGTCCACTGATACCGCAGGACGTAGCTCTCCCTGAGGGTCAGCTGATTCAAAGGAGACCGGACTGTTGTGACATTTTGTGAGATGTGTGGACAATTGAAAGTTTACTGTGAAATCTATTTGCCAATCTCAGGTGTCACATGAGTTGAATGCATGGATAAATGTGGCTTTTTTTATTATTACTTTAATTTGCCTGTTCTTTGGGCATTGTCACGAGAGGAACAATGATAGAAGTGAGAAATTACTGAAAACCAGGCTGTCCCTTAAGTTTAGAGAGACAAATTATTCTCTCTACCACCTTAAAAAAATACCTACAAGCTCTATCTGTATACACACTACAATTATAACCAGAGGGGAGAAGGAGATTTGTGCATGTGCTGCTCGTGGCTATGAATGGAGTGACTGTGGAGAATGGAATGTGAGCTAAAAGGAACTATATTCGAGTCACTCAAACTGGGCCATTTTGCTGGAATATGGAATGCCAGCGAGCGATGTTACGGGAATGCACAGGCATATTTATGAGGCTGGCTTCTGTGGTGTGGGAATGCTGACCACATTATATTCTGTAGCTTTCTCACTGCCAGCATCTAGAATTTTCCAGGTTTTTCACAGCCATTCTTCAGACCATGTCTATAACAGCAAAGCAAAGGAAAAATAAAGTTGCCATCTTCTTGAGCAACATGGCATTTCTGTCACTAAAGCAAATTTTAAAAAAGAAATAAAAAGCATACTAGTTTTAAAATGTCTGCTGTAGGAAGAAGTAGCTAAGAGCAGGCATTTATTCTTTGTGTCCTTGGCAGGTGTCTTGGAGATCAAAATCCTCAAATGTATGATTTCTGTATTAAGTGAAATTCAGCTCAGCAGGAGATACTGTCCACTGAGGATAGAGGTTTCCCTACTGTGCTAAATAATTCTTGGTAAAAAAGAACCTAGACATCTCTCTAACAAAGGTGTAGCATAATTCTAAGTCACCTGCAGGCTTAGGGTGTGATTCCCTACATTTTATCATCATAGCCTGGTCTGATCTCAAATAAACAGGCACCCTCCCTGATCCACGCTAATGTCAAGGTCACTGTAGTCCAAATGCAACTAAGTGTAAAGCTTACAAAGCCACCCCGTTCCACAGTCAGGGAACTGCAAATTCATGCAGATAGCAGATCTAAGACCAGAGGAGTCCATCACACGCACCTCCTTATTGCTCAGGTAGGGAAAGGGAGTGTTGGGGAGGTTAAATGACTTTGCCCAAGGCCACATGGCCAGATGGTGGTGGAGGTCTGACTCATGATTTTTGCTTCACAGCTTTCCTTCCTTCATTCAAATGGTTCATCCTACTGACCATGGAGCAACTGGCTTTTTACGTAGAGTCCTTAAAAAGAACACTATTGTTTTAGTTCCTGTAACTAACATGTATGTTAAAATTTGTTCTCACTGGGCAAATTTTTATACCCAGAAAAATAATGTAATTTTTCTTTTGAAAGATTAAATCATTTGCCACAGAAATTTTGGTACACGGTAGATTTGGACAAGATGGGCTGATTTGTGCTGTGTTCTGTTACCCCATACTCAGTGGAGAGATGCTAACCACTGAGGTGCAACAGATGACAGTTGCAGTGAAATGACCATGTGTGGACACTAGGGGGCAACCTTTCCAAATACAGTAGTATAGATGCCCTTCCATGGTTGTCCAAGGGCTCCAAGTGCTGGGCAGTTTTTTTTAAGCAATAGAGAAAATGGCTTTTTGACCCCCGCCCCCTCGCTCTCTCTTTTAAATGGCACTCCAGTAGAAGTCTCATTTCAAAAGAATGTCAATAATGGTAGCTAATCAGCTATCCAGGACATTTACTGTCCAATAATAGGTGTTATTCATTTTCTCTTTTAGAAAATAAAACACACGCACATAGACACAAAGACAACTCCAGACATAAAAACATACATGCCTGTGACACAACTAATCACCCTCATTCCATGCTGGAGTATACAAGGGCGGATCTTTATGCTGCTTACTAAGCATCAACACCAGCATCGTGTCATGATGGAAAAATGCAAAGCACTCATGCAAGTTAATAAAGTTACTACTGTTGCTACGACTTACCAGGAACATACTGCTTAGTCGACTGAAAAATAAAGCACAATCTTTTGGGGGTGATACAGTTATATCGTAGGTCACTCCAAAAATCACATTTGCTATGATCATGGTCCCCATTTCCCACCTTGAAGAGCAGAGCCTTTTGTAATTTAAAATATACCACTCTAGAGTGAAAGGAAGCTTGTGAATCCATGCAGCAGAAGCAAAATTAGGCAGAGCTCATATGAGTAGAAATTCTCAAAATGAGAGCACTCCAATTAAATGGTTATTCTACTGTACTCACATTTTCTTCTCGTGTTAATACAATTGTCACTTAGGGAAGTCGATCATTCTACATTTTATAAATGAGATCGATTATTTAAAATCATGCCTTACTCTTAATAGAAGTCACAGGCATTCATTTTTATTCAGTTGCTATATTTTCAATACCACACAATTACATATGTTTTACAACCCTAAATCCACTTTTTGGAGTGTCAGTAGCATGTGGTGTGATGTTACAGAGCAGAATCATTTAAGATAACATGTTATTATCTACTTTTAAAGAACTTCTGGAAAACCTTGTTGAATTCAGCTGTCCCATGGACTGGATTCATCATGTCATTTCTTTCAGAAAACAGATATGATGAGCCAGGGGTTCAGAACCTATTGGAAATGATATTCCAGGAATCAAAAGACTGGAGGGAGGAGGTGGGTCCAGATCTTCCCTGGCCATTCCCATTCTCTTTTCTCCAACCTAGGAGAAATGACAGCTTGCTTTTTCTTCAGAGTCTAGAAACAATGTTAGAGTCCAGCCAGCTGGAACCAGAAGTAGAGCCTGGTTAGGAAATGCTGGGATGCGAAGGTTAGGTGGGGCTGGCTCTGAGGACAGGACACTGATCTTGGCCACTGGTGGCTGCAGGCATAAAGATCCAGGTAAGTTTGGGTGTGGTTCCAGGGTGTTAGCTACTTTCCTGCCTGCCATATGCTACCTTACTGACTATGGGATCAGACACAGGTCACAAAACACACAGCTCACATGCAGTAGAAACAAGAATGTCTCAAATAGAAAATATCCTTTTGGATATAATGCTTTACTGTATTGATAGCAACTCAGCCTAGTTGTTTGGGGTTTTCTTTTCCTTATTCGTTCATTCATTAACTGTTGTAGGCTTACAGATGCATGGGAATCAGCAGCCCAGAGCCCTCTGTTCAAATCTGGGTACCTCCAAGCATTGCCACCTACAGAAGTGCTGGCTGAACCACTGGTGAGGGAATTCTTCCAGGGATGGGGCAAACTTTCGTGGGCAGACCCTAAGTGTCTTGTTCCTCTGGGTTTTCCTGGATTCCCTGTTACTTTAACCACATCTAGTAAGTGACTGTTTTATTAATTTTCACTGCTAGGGAATCAGTAGCTGAGTCAATGTTAGGTAGAAAAACTGCCCCCCACTACAGGGTGAACAGGAAGTAGTTGGATGTGCTCCTCGAAGACAACGTGGCTGGGAACCACATTTATGGACACAGCAAAAAAAAATCTTCTCGACATTCACTGTCCAGTGACAGAGACTTGGATAGGGACCACTTGCGATGCAGATTCCACAGTCAGCTGTCCTGACACAGGGATATGGGCTGACTTAGTGGTTAGGAGCTCTTCCCCTGACAAGTCCTATAGTGTCTCTTGTGTGCTTGCTCTCATGTCCAGCAAAAAGATAGAACCACGTGAGAGGAAAAGTCATGCAGGTGAGTACAATGGTGACGGTGTACCTCTCACAGGGGCACAGGTAATTCCAGAGAACTGAGTCAGATTCAAGACAGCAAAGCTTCTCACCAGGAGTGACCCCTGGACGTCCCTCTCCAGCACTCAAGAACCAGCTACAGACTCTTCCATTCCCTCCACAGCCAGGCCCCCTCCTCTGGCTCTGACCTTCCAGTCTCAAGGCTGTCTTACCTGAAGAGTTTTGACTTTGCCCAGGATGCTGTCCTGTGACATTGCTTGAACTGTCTGCTCACTTTCTGCTCCCCCATCAGGGATAAAAATACTGTCATGGGAAAACGCCCGGGTTCCCATAGAATAGTTGAAGGACCTGGAATGCAAATCATGTCTTCATTTTATTAGGATGATAAATTTCTTTTGGCAATTCAGTTGTCTGTTCTTCCTGACTTAAGGGATTCTACCCGCATTCCTGGTCTCATTCAAAAAGCTCTTCCAGCAGGTGGCTATTCTGGCAGAGGGTCAGTCAGCCAGGGAGCTGCGTAGACGAAACGGTCCCACAGGAAGGGAGAGGCATGGCTCTGACACAGCCCTGGCTCAGAGCCACTCACTGAACTCAGAACTTGGGCAGAAAGCACTGCATAACTTTTCACTGAAGAAGTCCTGGCCAGCTGAGCAGGACTGTCACTACGAGTTTTGTTCCATTTACTCTCACCAGCCATTATTTGTTAGGTAACATGCAGATTCAGAAGAGGCAAGAGTTTCTTTCATATTACAATCAAATTGGAAAACAGAGACACACATCTAAAGCAAGGACTTTGGAGGAGAACTAGAACTGCTGAAAGGGACTATCAATGCTCAAAGAGTTCAGAGAAAGGGGGAGAAATCTGTGTGGGGGCCACTCTGACAGGCTTTGTATGTACTGAACACCTTACGGTAGCTAGTACCCAACTGCTGTGGTTTGAATATGGCTTGGTGCTAGGAGTGTGGTGATGGGAAGAGGCAATAAAGCCTTTAAGAGGGAGGCCCTAAGTCACTGAGGGCACTGCCCCCAGAAGGAGTGGAGTTCTCAGGGACTCTGGTTAGTTCTCGTGAGTGGGTTGTTATAAAAGATGAAGCCTAGTCCCTCCCCATGCTCCAGCTTCCTGTCCTGCCGAGTGAGCTCCCCGTCCTGCACAATCCCACCATGATGTCATCAACTCTGATGTCATCCACCATGACGTGGTGTAGCCCGGGGAACTTTGCCAGAGCTAGTACAATGCTGTTTGGACTTTACCAAATGGAGCTAAATAACACCTCTTTTCTTTGTAAGCCACCCAGTCTCAGGTACTTCATTAGGGTAGTGGACAATGGGGCTAAGGTTGAGTTCTGGGTTTAATCACCACCATGAGGAATGAAGGAAAGAAGGGAGGAAGGGAGGGAGGGAGAAAGAGAAGGAGGGACAGAGGGAGGGAGGAAACGAATATACCAACAGTAGTCACTTCCCCGCTGGAGGGTTAGTCTCAAGGTAAGTCTGGACTTCTTCTACCTGACATGAGGTACAAGCAGTGTGGAATGCCACAGCAGCAAGCTGCTCCTTCTTCATCTTGGACACTAACTTATTTCTGGGAAGAAATACCCACTGAGACTGCCAGCTCCTATGCCAAGACAGCACATTTCCACGACACCAAGAGACACAGGCAGCCCTAAGAGGGGTGAGAGAGCACCAGTCCCAGTCCCTCAGAAGGGGGCCTCGATGGAGGATCCCTCTGCCCCCAGCAGGTGCCTGTGCGCTGAAGTACAGTATGTAGAGGACAGGGTCGGACAGCTGTACTTCTGTCTGCCAGGTCTAGACCGAGCAGGGAAGACTGATTACCAAATTATAACATTTGATTAACCAAACTGTAGGAAGCATGGTAAAGAGCATCAAAGGTTTAGAAACCAAGCAGTTGAATGTGAGTTCCTGGACTGTGGCAATACCAACCAATCGCTCAACCTTCGATGAAAAATCTGTGCATGCAGTTTTCATCTTATCTTGTCTAGTCCTCACCATCGCCATCTTGTTAGTGAAATGAACTGATCTTATTGGCAGGGGCTTAGCTAAGTTTATTTACAAACTACAATACCATGACTGCTGATTCCTTTGGATTTTCTATGTAGACAATCAGGTTGTCTGCAACAAGATTATTATGTTCTTCCTTTCAACGACCATATCTTTTTTTAAAAATTGGGTTTTTTTTTCCTTTTCTCTTTCCATACTGAATTAGCTAAAATCTTCATACAAAATTGAATAGAAGTGGCAATGGTGGATGTTGTAATGTTCCAAACTCAGGGGAAAAACATTCAATATTTCACTGTGAGTATCATGTTAGCTTTAGAATTTTTGTTCACATGCTTGTATTGCTGCTTCTTTGAAAAGACACAGGAGCTATCTTTTCTTTACAGTGGATTTAAAATTTTACCTCTGTCACTGGTGTTTAGCAATTTTATTCTGGGATGGCTGGGTGTGAGCTTCTTTTAATTTGTGTGGTTTGGGGATACATGGTACTTATAAAATCTGCAAGTTGATATCTTTCATCAGTTTTGGAGAATTCTCAGCCTTTATTTCTTAAATCTTGTTTCTGACCATTTTCCCTTGAACCACTCTCTGATACTGCCATATTAGGTCCTTTCAACCTGAGCCATTTGTCTTTTGCTCTCTTTTCTGTATCTATTTTTTACTCACTATGATTCAGTCTAGATTCTTCTACTGATCTACTTTCTAGATAATTCTCTATTTTTGTTCAGCCCACTTTTAAAACCACCTATCAAATTCTGTTTAGTTTTTTTTTTGGTGATACTAGGGTTTGAACTCAGGGCCTACACCTTGAACCATTCCACTAGTCCTTTTTGTGATGGGGTTTTTTTGAGATAGCATCTTGGGAACTATTTGCCTGGGCTGGCTTTGAACTGCAATTCTTCTGATCTCTGCCTTCTCACTAGCTAGGATTACAGGTGTGAGCCACCAGTGTTCAGCACCATCTGTCAAATTCTTAATCTCAGAAATATTTTTTAGATCTCAAATTTTTTTATTTTTTGCAATGCTGGAGTTTGAACTCAGGGCCTTCATCTTGAGCCACTCCACCAGCCCTTTTTTTTGTGATTTTTTTTTTTCAAGATAGGGTTCTCATGCTCTATTTGCTTGAGATGGCTTTGAACCGCCATCCTCCTGTAGATCTCAAATTTCTACTTTTTTTTTTCTTGCAGTGCTGGGAAATGGACCCAGGGCTTTGTAGATGCTAGGCGAGTGCTCTATCACTGAGTTACAATCTCAGTCCTTTGGTTTTCTTCTTTTTTTTTTTTTAAGTGTAAAGAGGGAGAGTTTGCTGAGATAGAAAACTGTAAAATGGGAGAGTAGAGCCCCCAGAGTTGGGGGAAAGTGTCCCAAGAAAAGGTGCCCCAGTTTTACTCTTAAAAAAAAAAAAAGACTCTTCTATGTAGTCACAAACACAAAGATCTGAAACTCCACTCATTTTCCTTTGAGATTTTTGAGACAGGGTCTTGCTTTGTAGCCCAGGCTGACCTTGAAGACTCAATCTTCTTGCCTCTGCTTTTGAAGTGGCCTGAAACCCTACTTTTGAGTCATTTCTGTACAGTAAGAGTCCAGTTGTACTTGTCAGTGACAGAATATTAAACTAAGAGGTCCTGTAGAGGTTGGCATTGACAGAACTTGACATGATGGAGGCATCTGCACAGCCGGAAGTCCTTGCGATGATGTCACTTTAAGTCAGCATCTCTTCTTCCAGTACCTATTCCCAAAGTCTGCTTGATGAAACACTACAATCTACTTTCCTCAAGTCTTGTGAAGACTTTGATGCCACTCCAAACCCAAACGGATGTCTGCCAAGGATCACCCTGGTACTGAGAAATATTTTAAATGATGTGACTCTGAGCAGATTTCAACACACGGTTTCACCCAGGAAGGGCCACTCTGTGTGGCTTTAGCCACACTTCGTACTTGCATACGGTGCCCGGGAATCCAAGGCTTTAATGTGCCACTAGAACTTGTGGGTCTTAGTGAATTTTCAGAATTAGGTACCCAACAACACCAACTTGTTCCTGGAGATATGGTGGCCAGGTGGAGGATCTTCTCACTCACATAGCACACCTGGTCCATGTCCACCCTGAAACAAACAGCCAGTGCTGTCAGAGCTGTCACCAGCAGCTGTAGCTTCTCCCTGATGCATTTGGCTATCTTCTCAAACATCATGTGGTCTCCTCTTTAGGTAAAGGCTGCATTTGCCAGCTGGGTTGGATATTGGACCCTCCTGCTTCAGTAGCTGGAAACCATCCTTGGTTTTTTGAGGCAGGGTGTCATGATGTAAGCCAGGCTGGCCTCAAACTTGTGATCCTCCTGCCTACACCTCCCCAGCGCTGGGATTACAGGAGTGTACCACCATTCATGGCATATTTTATTTCTTTTTAATAGATTCCAGTTCTCCAGTGCCCCCTTCCCCACCTCATCAACTATTTTCTTGAAGATACTCATTACAATGACTTAAAAGTATGTCTGAAACTCCAGTATCTTAGCCACCTTCAGCCCTATTTCTATCATCTTGTTTTCCTCATAGTCTGTGTCTGAGGTGCCTGGTAACATTTTACGGAATTCCACACTCCATTAATGGACAGTTTTAGAGGCCAAGTTCTCTCCTTCTGAGAGGAAGGTGGAGGACAGCAAGGGAGCAGGTCTCCTCAATCCAGTCCTAGGCTGAACTGACTCATAGCTGGCTAGCAACATTTGTAAGGCTCAGATTACGTCCGCTCTGTCACCACTTCTGAGGCACAGTCCTCCCCAGCTCTCAACAGACAGCCTGGGTTATTTCCTAAGAGCTCCCTCCTAAGCAGTCCCTGAACCCCAATTTTTGTCTTTCCAGAATCACAGACTGCCAAAAACTCTGCCCTGCTTTTTAGCGTCTTTCTCCTACCACCTTTATCAAAACAAAAACAAGCAAACAAATGGCTCAAAAGGAAAACTGTTGCCTAGATCTGGCCTCATTCTTCTCGGCTTCTCTTCCCTTGAAGATTTTAATCCCTCAAATCCTGGCAATCTTCGAAGCATCCACTCCAGTTTTTGTGTTTCCAGCCTCACGAGACTGCTTACAGCTCTGCCACCTTCTCTTTCTGTGTCAGCCGGCGCCAGGGTTTTGGCCTCAGGTCCAGGAGTTTCCTCTGCAGGATAGCACTGGTCAGATCTGGGCACTCAGCAGCAAGGTGATGCCTTCAAACAGATGTCTTTTCATATTCTATCTGTACTGCTGCTTGTTCTGGGTGGGAATGTGGGTTTGCCACTGGCTACTTCATTACAGCGAGAGGTGGGAGTAATTAAATAAATTTTTGATATTTATAAGTTTCTAG